TAAGATAGTTCAAGTTCAAGTTTCGCATTTCCTCGCTAAATATTCTTACGGCTTTCGACAAAACTTCTCAGCTAAAGTCTCCTTTTTTTTCTCTTTCCAAAGCTAAAAGTGCATTATAGGTATCATATTTAAATATTATCAGATAAGGTATACAAAAACTACAAAAATACGATCAAAGATTACTCGCTTGGTCTGTCTTTTAGTAGGCGCTCCAACAAGGTGACTCGGGTGGCATAGTTCTTCTTCTTCATTTTTCTCTTCTTCTTGTTCGGGTGGCACTTCTTCACTGTTTTTTGTCGAATCATTTGCTATCTTTCCAAATGAACGCATGAACGCATGTCATTTACAACATACTAAGGCTATAGGTTGCAATAATTAATGACCTTTATATGATTACAAGTATACTACCTAAAGCTCCATTATAGCTCCAAACTCAACAATTGCCGTTGATCGATGTCAAATCGATGTCCATGCCAAGACAGGAAAAATCCTTGCATGCTTTCTGTGTGTGTTGTGTTGAGGAAATTTCAGAGAGAAATGGGATGGTCAGAAAAGAGTGAGAGATATCCAAGGAAAGGAGTGCAATGGATGGACTACCCATCCAAGGCCACCTCTCCCCTCCTTTCTTCCCATCCCATCCCTTTCATGTTAGCCAGCTTCTCTTTTTTCTTCTTTTCTCTCTCCAATCATCTTTTCATCTTTTACTAATCATTGCAGATTCCATAAGGGTTTGATCTGCTAGACTTTGGATTTACTTCATTTTGCTCCAGATCTACCAATTGTTTCCAGATTTCTTAATTCTCTTTGGTAGAATTTATAAACCTTACCTACTCCAATTGAAGACCACTCTCGAAATCAGAATCAGAAGCGCACCCTTTCTGGCACACTCAATTCAGAATTTCTCTTGCAACGAATCAAAATCAAGTGTGCCAGTCGGGATTTATTTGCAACTTGTTGGCAAATGTATCAGCACAAAGTACACCTTTTCTTCTTTTCAAATAAAGAATGAGAGCTATGGGTGGAAACGGATCGTTTAGCACAATCAAAAAGGAGAGAAAAGATAACTTTTGCATGAGTAATCGATCTTTTCAAAGTAAAATGAAAAGAAAAGATAGACTTTTCGGGAAATTTTCTCCTAAAACAAGTCCGTTCTTGAGAAAATCCTCAACTTTTTTGAGACAAATATTTTTGAGGGAAATCTTCTCCATTTTTTTGTCTCAAATCTCAAATCAAATTTTAGCCTGATCCATCAAAACAAATCGGTTCTCTAAAAATATTTTTAGACTCGTGAAATCTTTTTTTGTTTGCTGCATTTAAAGTTTTCTTGGGTGTTTAGAAGGAGATTGGCCTTGTGATCGAAATAACGACTTTTGGTAAGAAAAAGAAGGGGAAAAAGATGGTGATCACTTGAAAGATTTGAATATCGTAAACCCTTTCTGGATTTGAATATCGTATTTCTTCGAATAGAAGGCCGGGCTTCTATTTTTTCGATCCTATTTCTCTTTTATTCGAGTTTTTTCGAGTCTTCCATTTTTTACATTCAAGAAAATCTTCAGGAGAATATCCAACATTTAGAAAAACAGCTTTCTTTATAAAAATCTATTGTAACATGTTAACGACAAAATTTAACAACAATCTGCAAGAAAATAGCATCGAAAAAGGAACAAAACACGTAAATTTTAGGTTACATAACTATCCTTCATTACTACAAGGTGGCCGACAATTAAAGCGCCGCACTTCGGAGGGCCTATATTGGCTAAAATTGGGTCAATCGTTCTGATTTTTCTGGAGACAAATCTTAAGTATATCTTCTGGAACGGAGCCCATTACCTAATCGATTCAAGCTTTCAACTTTTTTATATGACCTTCCAAAGTTGAGAGTCGAGTGTCGTTCGGCACGCTACTCATGGGATTTTTTGAGAGCGATCTTGTCAAAATCTCGTTGAGATTGAATTTATTATGTTAATGGATGAAATTTCACATGCTCTAAGCAGTTTAAGTGCAAAAATTCTTGAAAAATGTCACCAAAATAATAATTTTCATTTGAACGATTTATTGGACCTTTAGAGAAGCCACTAAAAACAAGAACATCTTATTTTTTCAAGGTCTATCGCTTTTAAATTTCATAAGTAAATATGATTCATTGAAAATCATCAAAAGCTTAAAGACTTTTTATTAAAAAATGAGACTTTCAAAATCCCATGAGTAGCGTGCCAAGCGACACTCGACTCTCAGCTTTGGAAGGCCATATAAAAAAGTTGAAAGCTTGAATTGATTAGATAATGGGCACCGTTCCAGAAGACATACTTAAGATTTACCTCCAGAAAAATCAGAACGATTGACCCAATTTTAGCCAATCTAGGCTCTGAAGTACTCATCAACATTCAAAATCGAAGCTGTTCGTTTTTCAAAGGAGGAGCTGTTGAAAATGATCGTTGCAAGCTGGATATTGCGTGATTGGAGGGAAAACTAACAAAACTCTATGAAGTTGACTCGAATGAGGAGAAAAACAATGGTTATGGGGGCGAAAACTGTTGAAAATGATCGTTGCAAGCTTTGGAGGGAAAGTGCGGCGCTATAATTGTGGGCCACCCTGTACTTGATTCGTAGTCGTTCTCAAGCAAAGCCGAATCATCTAGAACACCTTTAAATGCCTCCAAGCTCGAAATCAAATAGTTTTCGCCCCCATAACCATTGTTTTTCTCCTCATTAGAGTCAATTTCATAGAGTTTTGCTAGTTTTCCCTCCAATCAAGCAAAATCCAGCTTGCAACGATCATTTTCAACAGCTTCTTCTTTGAAAAACGAAAAGCTTCGAGTTTGAATGCTGATGAGTCGGCCTTTCGTTTGTCTTTGCTCCTAGAATTGTTGAATTAACACAGTAAAATCTGAAAAAGAGCAGAAGAAAAAAAAACAAAAAACTGAATGAAAAAACACTTTTGGGCTTAAAATATGAAAAATCACAGCAGGAAAAACACAAAACTGAATGAAATTACACTTTTAGACTTAAAATATGAGAAAGATCAGAAGAAGAAACACAAAACTAAGTAAAAACACACTTTTGGGCTTAAAATATGAAAAACATCAGTCAAAAAAAATGAAACTGAATAAAATGAGACTTTTGGGCTTACTTTTCTGATCTTGGCTACGGTAATTTTAGTGCAAAATAGAAAATAAGTGATATCTTGAATAAAACACCGGTCTGATATTTGTGGCGGTCTTTTATTCGAGATTGGTCTTTTATTCAAGATTGGTCTTCTATTCGAAGAAATACGATATGACAAAGAGATCTGTGTTTTGGTATTGAAAACATCTTTTGCTTGATCTTTGGAAAGCCGAATCCCGATCACAAATCACACAGAATTGTCGTCTACCTTCTAGCTCTTTTTTTCATTTCCATCATCTTGGGTGTCACCGGAAATACTCGATTTTCGACTCTCTTTCCATTTTCGTTAAAATTTTTTTGGAAAAATGGAGAAATGATAAATTGATTTGAAAGTTTTCAAAGATTTTTGTCGTGCTCATTTTCTTTTTCTTTCTTTTTTTCTTTCTCAGCTCTGTTTCTAGGTTAATCTCAAGAGAAAAACGAACAATAAACTTTTTTTCTTTCGGCGCATTTTTCTCATTTTTTTCTTTTTTTTTCTGGGGATATCTGGGGTGATTTTTCCGAACGAACAAAGGAATTATTGTTGGCTTCTTGAGTCTGCTTTGATTGGTGGTAAACCGGTAATTGTACACCAATTTTAAGCATGAATTTGAACTGAAAACAGTACCTAAAGATCTTTAATTACCAACGATCTTTATTTTTGAACTTCTTTCAAAAAGATCTTCTTTCTCACAGCTCACAGATCTTCTTCTTTCTTTCTTCTTTCTACTTCCTCCTTCCTTTCTTCTTTCTTCTTCTTCTTCCTTCTTCTTCCTTCTTCTTTCTTCTTCTTCTTTCTTCTTCTTTCTTCTTTCTTTCTTCTTCCTTCTTCCTTCTCTCAAAATCTATCCTTTCTCCTTTAAAGTCTACTGTTCATTGGCCTTTTTGCAGTCTACTGTTCACTTTCTAAGCTCTTTAAAAAAGAGGAAATGGGAAAGGGTTTAATACAAAGAATTTTGTTCAACATTTTGTTCAACATCTTGTTCAACATTTCGTTCAACATTTCGTTCAATTCTTAATTCTTACTTGTTTTAATCTATTCCTACAAAAAAGGTATTACGAAAAAGGTACTATAAGAATCTATAAGAGGCAAAGTTAGTGTTTCTGTGTCCGTAACCACATAACTCGAGTTCTAGTGGGAATTTTGGTTTGATTTTTTTGGACAATATATCACCGACTATCACCGGTTTTGCCTATTAAATCAGAATTGAAAAATCTTTAACCGATTTTGAGTAACTAAATTTGGCGGTGAGATCAAAGGGTTTAGCGGTGAGATCAAAGGAGTGTTAAGTATACGGGGAAATGCTGAATTTCAGATTCAATGTAACCGTTTTTATCCAACTATTGGAACAATTGTGCACAAATCTTTAGTTTATAAAGTAATGTCAGCATTTCGTCTAAAAATTGCAAGATTGCTGGTGTTCGTGAGAAATGCATTCTCGTAATACCTTTTTCGTCAGAAAATCTTTCTCTCCCCAAAAGCTTCCCCTCCACAATGATCCCAGAAATTTTATCCGCACTAAATATCCCTTTATTTTCTCATTTTTCTTCCTTGACTATTTGCTGAAAAGCGAAATTTGTCGGCTTTTCATTTTTTTTTCACAAATTTCCCACAATCTCTATCTGTTGATCGACAAATTGTTTCCTTTTTTGCAATTGATGACTTGTCTAGCTGAATAGCTGGATAGCTGAATAGCTGAATAGCTGGATAGCTGGATAGCTGAATAGCTGGATAGCTGGATAGCTGAATAGCTATCTTTCTAGCTTTCTAGCTGAATAGCTGAATATCTTTCTAGCTTTCTAGCTTTCTAGCTTTCTAGCTATCTTTTTTACTTTTCAAATTCCAGCGTGTGAAAATGGCGGTGATTTTACCTGAAGCCGGCATTGAGAAAGCGGATCGAGTATGGAATGACACAGGTATGGAGAATGAAAGAATATCAAAATCTTGTGTGTCAGAAAGCGTGCGTTTATCAGAGCACGTAGAGCATGGAAAGGCAGCTGGGTACTACAGGGTGTTCAAGAATTACGGCCACTTTTTCTCTCGTGCGTAGCTCCGCCTAGAGTTAACCATTCCCCATAAAACTTTTTTTGGTCAAATTTACTGCTTATTTTCAACACTTTACTTCAATACTTTACTCAGAAACTCAAAATTCGATAGCAATTCTATATCAATTCTATAGAATTCTATAGCAATTCTACAGAACTTCAAATCTCCAAAACTCGAGAGCCTCTGGGACGCGGCTTAACCGAAATTGAGCCGTCAAAGGAAAATCGCTGATCATTCAACTACCCGAATCAGCGATGTTCGGATCTCTACGTAAGCATAAAAAGAACAAAAAGATGACTACGCGACACTACTAAACGCCTATACGACAGTACTAAGAACTGGGTATTGGAGTGTTGCGTCGTCGTCGTTTGGTTCTTTTTATGTTTGTGTAGAGATCCGGATATCCCTGATCCACGAGTAACGTTAAATTCGATTTTCTAAAAATCTGATCCATACAAATTTTTACATGCTATCCAACTAAGAAAAATCCAAACTTTGATTAAAATCTGTCCACTCAAAAAAAAAGTTAATTGGGCTTCTAGTTTCTAGGTTATTTCTTTCAAAAACCGCAGCTTTTCAACTTGTTTTCTAGTAAAAATGAGCTGGATTTTCGAAATAATAAGTAAAAAGGAGTAAGTGAAGCTGGTTTTCTTTGATTTTCAGGCATTGAAACTAGTTACGAAAGGCGAGAACGAGAAAATCAAGAAAAATTCCGCCGCAGGAAACGCGTGTCGCAACTTTGCAGTGCTCTAGCAAAAGTTTAGAAACTTTTCTGATCAAATCCAGAAAACAAATTGCAGGAGGGATATTCAATTTGATAATAAAAAAAGAATTAGGTCGATTGATTGATTCTTGGCTAAGCTGGAGAATCTGAACTGAGTGCGGGTAATTGTGCGTCACCCTTTTTCTAATTCTTCCTAGTTTGTTGTCGTCTCTAAATAGCTACCATCTAAAAAACAATCAACAAAAAGCTTTAAGCCCATGTAAATTCAGTTTTTTTCAAGTTTTTATCTGTTTTTTTGTCAAATAGATGTAACAAATAGGGCTAGAAACGTGTTCACCCTATTAACTTTTTTTTGAGTAGACAGATTTTAATCTAACTTTAGATTTTTCTTAGTTGGATAGCATGTAAAAAGTACCGGTAGTTGTGTGCGTACTTGACTCAAATATCCCAATCGCAGATCCACCATCCTCCTCCTCATCATCAAATGGCTCCTCATCACCTAAATCCTCATCACCAATCCCAACAAAGAAACGCGTCAAAATCCAACAGGAAAACAATTCGGAAACGTTCTTTATCAGGTAAAATGCAATGAAATTGATTTTTCCACCTTTTCAGATGGATTTGTGCCTTCTTCCGTGTCTGGGCTCATTTCATTGCCCGTCATGCTGTCAAAGTGATCATTGCTTGCAGTATTCTTTCACTCATCGGCGCCATCAAATTGGCCACAACACCGTCAGTTTTTTGAGATTGATAGTGAACAGTGAACAGTATAGAATAGAAGAGTATAGAACAGTACAGTATAGAACAGTACAGTATAGAATAGAAGAGTATAGAACCGTACAGTATAGAACAGTACAGTATAGAACAGTAGAGTATAGAATTAACGTCACCTAGTTTATTCAGAAATGAGAACGAGATCGCTGGATGGACCCCATATGGAGCGAGATCGTTGAGCGAATTGGAAGTAAGAATCTCTGAATGTATCTCTGAATGAATCTCAGCCCAAAATCTCCTAGGTTTCTCGGGAGTTCTTTGGCAATAAAGAGCAAATAATCAGTGTTATGTTAATCCTTTTGGCAAAAGATGGAGGATCAATGCTGACAACGGAAAGAATGAACGAGATTAAAAGGGTGAGTTTCGGAAGAAACAAAAAGCCGTTAAATTTTATGCCGTTAACTTTATGCTGTTAACTTTATGCCGTTAACTTTATGCCGTTAAATTTTTAGATTGAAGACTTTGTGGCTAAAAATTTCACAATGTTCAACAAAGAGACGGGGAAATGGGAGAATTTCCGAAAATTCTGCTACTCATTCTGTCAACTCAACGATCCACTCATTCATTTTGCGGTTGGGTTTTAAAGATTTTAGCAAAGATTGATGATGTTGATGTTGATGATTAAATTATGATTAATAATTATAGGCAAAGATTTGTTTAAAAAGTAAAGCAAAGATTTTCTGATAAGCCGATAAGCCTTAAAGCTTTTAAACCTTTTAAATCCTAAAGCCTTTTAAAGCCGAAAGCTTAAAGCCTAAAGTCTTTTAAAGCCTAAAGCCTAAAGCCTAAAACCTAAAGTCTTTTAAAGAATGGTTTCATCATGCAAGAGGATCTTCGATTGAGAGGAGAACCGTTGAATGATCGGATTGAGTTGTCCTATCCGGTTACATCAATGTACGGAAGAACCTTCAATGTTCAGGTATTCAGGATTAGGTCTAAGTCTAACAAACGCTCAGATCTTGACACCAATACGTTTGTTTCTGCGCGCTTGAGTATTAAATTAAAGTAGAGAGGATGGGTGATTTTTTGAGATATGACCCCCTATATAGGAGCGTCGTGTAGTCTAAGTTTACACTCAAACGAATGCTCAGATCTCGACACCAGTACGTTTGTTTCTGCGCGCTTAGGTATCAAATTAAAGTAGAGAGAATGGGTGATTTTTTGAGATATAACAAATATTCTTAGCATTAACCAGCGCTTAGAAAAAAAATGATTGAAAAATGATGAAAAATCGTCTTTTTTGCCACTTTTTTTTTTCCAGACGTTTCCGCGCCAAACGTCGGAAACTACCGTAACCCGACGCCATAAAAGGACCCCTCGACGAAGAATTTTTCAGTCTTTCCGCTGTGTTGTTGTAGTTGTCTTGCCATGTGCGAATATTTGTTATATCTCAAAAAATCACCCATCCTCTACTTTAATTTGATGCTCAACGCGCAGAAACAAACGTACTAGTATCAAGATATGAGCATTTATTTGAAAATAAAGTTAGACTACGCGACGCTCCTATAGTGGACCGTTCTATTAGAGTTTTTACTTTATTAGTTCATTTTCTCTATGCTTTTTTTGTTTTACTCTTTCTTTTCAATTGAATAACCTCCATTTTAGATTAAATTTTGGTCTAAAAAACAGCTGCGATTTAAAATGTTCTTCTTCTAAATATCTTCTAGATCTTATAAATAAGTTTATTACCTAGTCATTACCTAGTCATTATACTGAAATGTAAATCCCGCGAATTTTCTCGGATCTAAATCTAAATCCGAAAAAATATTTAGCAAGAATGTTAGAAAATATGCGAATACTTCGCATTACTGAGAAAAAACACAAATGAATGAAAAATTTTAATTTTCGAAACAAATTTACATAACTACGGTAGTCTTTTTGAAGCGCACGCTTTAGAAAATGCATTAATCACGCATTAATCATAAGAAAGCGCATTAATCACGCATTAATCAGTAGAGTGTGTTCCTCTCGAGTAATGCGTTTTCTAAAAGGCATCTATTTTAGAAAACTACCGTAATAAAACTGTTAGTTTACATCTAATCAGTTCAAATTTCGTATCATTAACTGAGCCTTGTAATTCCTCATCGAATAATGTCAAAATCGGGCTGGTCGGATGTAAACTAACGACTATGGTAGTTTTCTAAAATAGATGCCTTTTAGAAAACACATTAATCACGAGGAACTCTGTTCAGAACTTATTTTAGAGATTAAAAACATGAAAACCTTTCAGCCGTCATTCTTCGGCCTCGACTTCTTCAACAACAACACTTCTCCAATTGCCAATACAACTGAACTAGCTAGGCCAAGAATCGTCAATTTGAAGTGAGCTTTGAAAATATAATAGCAAGATCTCAAGCTATTAAACAAGACTTTTATGTTAATTTAGATCACTGAAAATGGCTGCTTTGCATTTCCGAGGAGAACGAGCTCATGGATGGACGCTAAACGATGTGAAGACCTATGAGCTGGCTGTCACTCATTATTTCAAAAAGTTTGTTTTTTACTATATTTTATTATATTTTATTTACTAAACCCTCTATATTTTATTACTTTATTACTTACTATTTGATCATTTTATTGATACTTTTATTACTTGAGTACTCTATTTTACTTGAGCACTCGATTTTACTTGTTCAGTGAATTCCACTCGGATGAAGTGACCGTGTTGACCCTTTCAACGAGTTATGTCGAAGCTGAGGTCGTTCGAGCTGGATATAAAGTGAAATCATTATCTCTTTCACTGATCAACTTCGAAAATTTTAGATGTTACCCATCTTCATCATCGGTTTCGGCATTATGTTAGCGATTTCGAGCTTAACAACGTTCATTTCAGCCGCCTACATGCAACAACTCACGATACACAAAGTAAGCACATAAATTTCAGTGTTAGTTAGATAGATAGTTAGATAAAGTCTATCTAACAATAAAGTTAGATAGATTCAATGCATACGTCGTAGCCGTTTACGAAATTCAGCCGCTAACGAATGAGGGTATTTCCCCAAACAAAAGTCACCCACAAAAAAAAAATACAAAAAAAAAAAAATATAAAAAAAAATTTAAAAATTAATTAAATCTCCTTCTAAATTTTTTTTTTCGCCAAAGTTTAGGTTCAAAAATGCCCAAATGGCTATAAAAATTTTCTACTCAGCCAAAAAACTTGCCTAATAGCTCATTTTGTAGCCAATTTGATGTAGATTCTTAAAGTAAAGCTACATTGAACATTTGGTTTTCAAAGCTAGGAGAAAGAGGGCGAGGAACGACTTCAGTTGAACCCGGTCGCTGTTTTCACATTTGAGAATTGTCCTGAATTTGTTCCTCGCCCTCTTTCTCCTACTTTCAACGAAAAATTGTTTTAGATGGCTTTACTTTAAGAAAGTACATCAAATTGGCTACAAAATGAGCTATTAGGCAAGTTTTTTGGCTGAGTAGAAAATTTTTTATAGCCATTTAGGGCATTTTCGAACCTAAACTTTGGGAAATACCTCATTCGTTAGCGGCTGAATTTCGTAAACGGCTACGACACATAGATTTAGATTCCTTAAACTCTTAGCAACATTTTCCAACGTTACTCATGAGATTCTGGCTTCTTAATAAAAAAAAAACCAAAAAATTTCGAGCAGGATGGGATTCGAACCCACGCGGGCAGAGCCCATTAGATCTCCGCGATTTCATAGCAGTCTAACGCCTTAACCACTCGGCCACCTGCTCGGCTGGTTGCCTCTTTCTTTTCCCCTAGAGAGCTCGCCCTTTTTGGCTCTTCTATTTACAAATAATGAAAAAAACAAGGATATAAAAGGCTTCGAATTTTCAATCTTAACATTAATTTATATATAATTTATTTATTTTTAGATAGATTTTTATATATTTATATAAAAATATAATAAAATCTATATTCAATCTTGATTTTCCAGTTCTCTCTTGCATTATTCGCTTGTATCACCCCGTTTATGGCTTGTGGAACAGCTCTAGGATTTTTATTCATTTTCGGAGTTCGATTTGGATCGATTCTTTGCATTTCACCGTTTCTTGTACTGGCTATTGGTGAGTGATAAAGATATTCAGTTAAATGATTGACAGCTTTGAAATTTCTTGGAAAAAGGGCTTATCAAGAAATTCGAGTGTTCAGAAATCGTAATTTTTAGCTAAAAAACGAAGAGGAGGAGTTTAAGAAGTTCAATAAAGGAATAGGAATTATAATAAGTTCAATAAGAGGTATAATAAGTCAATAAGAGCTATGATAAGTCTAACAAGAGCTATAACAAGTTCAATAAGTCAATAAGAGCTATAATAAGTTCAACAAGAGCTATAATAAGCTCAATAAGTCAATAAGAACTATAATAAGTCAACAAGTATAACAAGTTCAAAAAACTCAATAAAACCTTTAACAAGCTAAAATGTATAAAATTAACTATAAAATCCTAGCCTCGCATCTCATTAAAGTAAAAAAACTCTCTCTTTCAAATTCTAGGTGTTGATGATGCTTATTTAATGATTCATGCATGGCAAAGAGTCTCAAAAAGACTTCGATCACATCCAGTTGACGATGATTCACCAGGATATCGACTGGCTGAGGTAAAAAAGCATTTTATTCTTAAAAACAAGCCAACTTGCAGGTATTGACCGATACAGGACCAGCCATTATCATCTCTGCACTCACAAATATCCTCGCTGATACAGTTGGAACATTCACCGGATGTCCTGAGATCACACTTCTTTCTTATGGAAATATGGCTTGTATTGGTGTCGACTTTCTCTATCAGGTAAGATATCAGAAAGCCCAAGACTGGATTTTGGTCTGATTTGATTTAAGAGAGTACCTAAGAAACTTTGGAAGTTAGGAATAGACTTGCTATCCGATCAAAATTCTGTCGGATTGGATTGGATTGGATTCACTCAGTTTCAATCCAATTCAATCCGATGAAGGTGATCAGATCGGATCAGATTGAATCATCAGCATTGAATCCGTTCCAATGTAATATCTGGATTCAATCCATCGGCAAGTCTAGTTAGGAAAAAGCCAGGCCTCATTTTTCTGATCAGTCAGAACACCAATGAGACTATAGAGTTTACATTCTACGAGACTGTTCTTGCAGAGGATTGTAGTTGTAACTCTAACTAGAGTAGTAACTCTAACTAGAGTAGTAACTCTAACTAGAGTAGTAACTCTAACTAGAGTAGTAACTCTAACTAGAGTAGTAACTCTAACTAGAGTAGTAACTCTAACTGGGTAACCTACAGGTAGTAACCAACTAGGTTGTAACCTAACTAGGTAGTACCTGGCTAGGTGGTAACTTAACTAGGTAGTAACTCTAACTAGAGTAGTAACTCTAACTAGAGTAGTAACTCTAACTAGAGTAGTAACTCTAACTAGAGTAGTAACTCTAACTAGAGTCTAAGTCTCTAACTCTGTACTAGAGTGGGCTCCTATTGGTTAAATATATTAATTATTTCAAAATTTGCATTTAATTAACGAAAAGCAGACATTAACCAGACATTAACCAGACAAAACCTTGGTCAAAAAGACCGATTATCGATTTGTAGGCAGATGACTGAATATCTTGTTTTCTGTATTCTGCATTCTGTACATCTTTTCATCCCAATCCCATTTCTCAATTCAGATCTCTTTCTACGCGGCCATCATGGCTTTAGCTGGGCGTTTCGAGATCGGCGATGAACAACAAAAGAAAAACAAGTTGAGTATCGAGATCGGTGATGAAAATTCGGTGGATATCTGTCATGGGGAATGCTGTCCAAAGGTATCAAGATTAGCAACAATTCCCCCAAAATTCCCCAGGTCTCCGAGGGTTTCCACGATGCGGTGAAGACGCAATTCAACGCTTTCCTTGATGGATACGTGAATTTGGTGAACAATCGCCTTTTCGATACGGCTGTTTTCATCGCCTGGGCTGCCTATATTGTGCTTTGTATATATGTGAGTTAAAGTTTATGATATAGGCCAATGCATTATACATATTATACAGGGATGTTCCTAGACCAAAAGGCCAGGCCATAAATCAATATGGCCTGGCTTATGGCCTGAGTTATGGCCTAGCTTATGGCCTGACTTATGGCCTAGCTTATGGCCTGAGTTATGGCCTGACTTATGGCCTGACTTATGGCCTGGCTTATGGCCTAGACAGGCCTTGAAAAACCATAGCTTTTGAGCCATATTTTGTTTTTTCTTGGCTTTTGCTTTTCTAGCGACTAAAGTACCGTATTTATTCTAATAAAAGCAATTTTGTGGAATGATGGAAGCCCAGCCTCTAATAGAAGCAATAATTATAGATACTCATGACTTTTCATGGCCCTGGCTTTTGGCCTGGCCTGGCCTTCGAAATTTTTCAGGCTAGCCAAAGCCAAGCCATATGCATGGCCGATGGCCTGGCTAGCCATGGCTTGCTTTTTAGAACAGCTCTGCTATTCTACATTTAAAAATCACATTACATTTCGAAAATTATCCAAATTCTTTAGGGAATCTCCAATATCAAAGTGAACATTTCTTCGAAAAAGCTTTTTGCCGGCGATTCTGATCTCCAAATAATGGAAGATCTCCGTTACAAACATGTCTATCCATATTATGTCATTGTACAAGTTTTTGTCAACAATCCCGGAAATCTCAGTGATCCGAAAAGATTAGAAAGGTTTGAGAAAAAGAAGAATCTTTGAAAAAATCAATTTTAGACTTAATACTTTTGTCTCAGAATTTGAGCAATTGCCTGGCGCATGGGGAAATGTTAGCACAAACTATTTTATTCGGTGAGTGTTGGTTACTGGAGCTAAAATTCTATGATACATTAATTATAGTCATTTTTCTTGTGTAGTACTATGGTAGCTAAGATAGCTAAGATATCTTAGCTAGGTAGCTAAGGTAGCTAGGTAGCTAAGGAGCTAAGAGAGCTAAGTACTATGGTAGCTAGGTAGCATTACTTATAATCCAAAATTTCCAGAGATTTCATGGAATTCGAGGAAATCAACCGGGAAATGGATGGGGAAGAGGGAGATTTCAAGACGAATTTCGATCCAAATGATCTCCCGCAATTCATCGAATGGACTGAATACGAGTTTTGGAGGGGATTTATCCGGCTGTCAAACGATAAAAAGTAAATTTTAGTCTATTTATCTGAGTTTTACAATTGGCGTTTGCTCCTCGCGATTAATACGTTTTCTAAAATGCGCTCCCCGAGAAAAAAATGGAAAAAGGGAATCTACACATAAAGCTACGGGGTTGGGACAAATGCTACCTTTTTTTTGCGCACCTGGACATTTGCGCACCTTTTTTTAGCTGGAAAAGGCCTTAGGCAAGGCCGTAGAGCTTCGAAAATATTTCCATATAAGGGAATTGTATGCGTAGATTCCGAATTTCGACAAATCAGACCTCGCTGACATGTCAAATTTGGGCTAAAAGGCAAAAACTGCGGAAAAGCGTTAAGTTGCGTAGTTTTTGCCTTTTAGCCCAAATTTGACGTGTCAGCGAGGTCTGATTTGTCGAAATTCGGAATCTACGCATACAATTCCCTTATATGGAAATATTTTCGAAGCTCTATGGCCTTGCCTAAGGCCTTTTCCAGCTAAAAAAAGGTGCGCAAATGTCCAGGTGCGCAAAAAAAGGTCGCATTTGTCCCACCCCCGTAGCTTTATGTGTAGAATCTACACATAAAGTTACCCCAGAAAAAGTGGTTTTGAAGAAAAAAAAGGGCCCCCAAAACTTTATTTGTATCCAAAAAACAAACAAAACAAGAAAAAAAACAGAAATGAAACAAAAAAATGTAAAAATGTACCAAATTTTAGTCTTTTATGTCGTGCAAAAAGTTCACGTTTTAGCGCGCAGAACGGTAGAGTGTACGGTAGAATGTACACCAAATCATAATTCTAGTAAATTCTAAGTAAATTTTAGTCTATTTATCTGAGTTTTACAATTAGAGTGTGTTTCACTTTTTTGGGCACTTTTTTGTCTCAAAAATCACTTTTTCTGGGGTATTTTTATGCGTAGATTCCGAAAAACACAAGAAGTGCTTGGGAAAATGCGTTCTAAGAGTTTCAGAGCTTTCGGAGCAGAATTCAAATTACCGTATTTTCTCTAATAGTAGTGCACCGTGAGCGTCGCCTAAATTCCTCGAAATCTCGAGAACCGCTTATCAGAACCTATCGATGTGGGGTCGGAAAATGTAGCTGACGATGAGATCTAGTGATCTATTTGAGTGTTGAGCTTCTGCAAAAGCTTGGAAACCGTAAAATCGTCACCAACTCGGCTCGCTGCACTATTAGAGAAAATGCCGTAATTGATCGCGAAGAACAAACTCAGGCTTGATTTGATCTTGATTGATCTTTTTTTTGTTTTTGTTTTTTTTTTTTTTTTTTTTATTTTTTTTTTTTTTTTTTAAAAAAAGGGTGTTTTTTTTTTTAAAAATTTTAAAAAAAAAGAAAAAAGGTGAAAGTTTTTTTAAAAATTTTTAAAAAAAAAAAAATTTTATTTTTTTTTTAAAAAAATTTATTTTTTTTAATTTTTTGGGGGTTGGGGTTGTTAAAGGGGAAGGGGGTTTTTTGAAAATTTTTAAAAATTTTTTTATTTTTTTATATTTTTTTTTTTAAAAAGTGGTTGAAAAAAAAAAATATTTTAAAATTTTTTTTTTTTTTTTTAAATTTTTTAAAAAAAAATTTTTTTAATAAAAATTTGGGGGGAAAAAAAAAAGGTGGTCGAAAAAAAATTTTTTGGTTTTATTTTTTTTTTTTTTTTTTTTTCTTTTTTTTCTTTTTTTTTTTTGGGGGTGTAAAAAAGGTTAATATTTTAAAATATTAAAAAAGATTTATTTTTTTTTTTTTGGTATTTTTATTATAATAAATTTTTTTTTTTTTTTTTTTTTTTTTTTTTTTTTTTGGAAATTTTTAAAAATAAAAAATATATCACTTACAATTATACAATTAGTCTAGAAGTTTAGAAGTCTAGAAGTTTTTAGACATTCTATTAACAATTTTCATTTCATTTCCAGCAACAACACACATTTGGATCGTTTCTTTTTCACAACCGCTTTTCATGGGAAAGAATTTTTGGCGTGGAAAACGCGATCGATTGCAATGCATCAATGGAGAGATGTCGTTGATAAATATAAGTGAGTCGTTGATAAATATAATCATGGTTATTGTAAACAATTTTTATCCAGCAATCCAACAATCCAACAATCCAACTTTTCAGTCACGAATTCAACTCGACAGTTTTCTACGACGAGGGAATCTATATCGATTTCATGGACAATATGGCAACAGATACCTGGCAGGTACGAGAAATAGCATACTTTTGGTTCAATTTGCATTTAATTTGCATATTTAGTCAGCTGCTGGCACTCTCTCCTGTATGGCGTTGATCTGTTTCATTTTTATGTATGATTTCTTCACTGTTGTTGTCTCAACGGCTGCCATTGCATCGGTGATGGCTGGTTGGTGACCTTAAAGTGGCCTTTGTTGTTGAAAACGCACCCTTTCTGATGCACCCTTTCTGATGAACCCTTTCATTTACAGGAATTCTTGGCATCAATGCCCTCCTCGGAATGGAACTCGATCCAATCGTGATGGCCTCATTGGTGATTTCAGTGGGATTTTCGGTGGATATCCCTGCGCATGTGTCATACCATTTCCATATGGCTGGTAAGCTATCTTCATTTAAATGTACATTGTGATCAGGTATTCCAAAGCAATTTTCAGGTAAGGACAAGGTAAGGCCGAGATCTGATCAGAAGCCAAGCCTTGGTCGTTTTATTGTGGAACATTTGAGACGCGCCCTTTGCCATTGTCAATCCAACTTTGAACTCAAATATCTTGGTGTTGAGCTGTCCAATTTAAATAGTTTTTCTAACAATCGATAGAGAAAGACTTGGCGCATCTAATGATACCAAGAATATTGAAATCGAACAGACCAAAGCCAAGATATTTGAGCTCAAAGTTAGATGGTCAATGGCAAAAGGGTGGGCGCGTTTTAAATGTCCGATAATCTTTAAAAAAAAGCATTAATCGCGCATTAATCGGTTAATCGATTACAATTAAAATTTTAATCGTCTAGCTTTGATCAATTAATTATCGCGAGGAGCAGACACAAGTCTGGTTTGGCTTTATTTGAGGCCTAGACCGGCTTCGGACCGAGCTTCAGACCGGATCGAGCTTCGAGCTTCGGGCTTCGGACTGAGCTTCAGACTGGACCGAACTTCGGGCTTCGGACCGGCCATCAGGCTTCGGACCGGACCGAGCTTCGGGCTTTGGACCGGACCGAGCTTCGGGCTTCGAGCTTTGGACCGGCCCGGGCTTCGAGCTTCGGACTGCTATTGAGTAATGTAAGGAATTGAGATCGGGTGAGTTTGATGGCCATTCGCCTGGTCGTTGTTGATGTCCACGGTGATGCAACGGTTAAATATAGTAAGATGCGCGTCATCATAATCGTGGGACATCCTGTATAAGTCCCAGTTGGAATATCCTTGCTTTTGTTTAGCTCGAGCCAGCTTAGCTTTCTTTTCAGATGCTCATCTGCACGGTGAGGTGACAATTCGAAAGCGTTTACGTTATTGTCTGGCCTCTGTTGGTTTCCCGGCGATTCAGGCGGCAATCTCGACAAATCTTTGCGTTGTCGCTCTGCTCTTTGCTGACATCTACACATCGAGAGTGAGTTGTAGAATTAGAAAACTGGATTTGCATGAACTGGAAACTGGATGAGAATCCATCATTGTCATTTAAAAGCCATTTTCATTTTAAAGCCATTTTCATTTTAAAGCTATTTTTATTTTAAAGCCAGCTTCTTCACGAATCAAATTTTCAGGTTTTCGTTAGAATCATGGTTTTATGCGTGTCTTTGTGTCTTCTTCACGGGATTCTGATCATTCCTTGTGCGATGTCTTTACTCTCACCGATCATCGATTTCTTCAGAACGAGAAGGAAATGCTGTTGATTGGAGATGATCCTCTAGATCCTCTAGATCCTCTAGATCTTCTAGATCCTCTAGATCCTCTAGATCCTCTAGATCCTCTAGATCCTCTAGATCTTCTAGATCCTCTAGATCCTCTAGATCCTCTAGATCCTCTAGATCTTCTAGATCTTCTAGATCCTCTAGATCTTCTAGATCCCCTAGACCTAGAAGATCCTTCACTCACCCCAAGCTCATCTCATCATTTCATCTAGAAGATCTTCCATCAATCCTCTATCAATTTCTAGTGATTAGAAAACGCTTTTTTGTCAACAAAATAGATTGAAGTATTGAAATTTGCCTGTAATTTGATGCCCAATGAATGTCCTTCACTCATCCCAAGCTCATCTCATCATTTCATTCAATGTCCACATTTCTTTTCCCTCTTCTTCATCTTCCCAAAGTTGTGGCAATTTTCTGGTGGTACTTTTGTGTGTGCATTTTGTTAAAATTGCATTTTTTTACAGTAAATCTTTGGTGCTTTATGCGAATTTTAGGATTTTTTTATAAGCAGTGAGTTTTGAGTGAAAAAAAAGTGGGAAAAGTCGAGCCTCTCAATTTTGCTTTCCCTCCAAAACTCATCAACAGCTTTTTGTTTAAATACGTGTGTTTTCTTCGATGGGTCTCTTGATAAGTCATAAGACAAATTTTGCTTTTTTCTTTCGATAAATAAAGATTTTTATAAGGAAATGAAAACAGGAAAAAGAATTAAAGATTTTGTTTAAATTTATAGTATTGACTGGGCCCTTGATTCTGTGGTACTCTTGATTCATTTCAATGACTTTGGTCGACTCGGCAAAAGAGTTAAAGCTGTGGGAAACTTACCTGTGGCCTTAGAAGTGGTACTTTAGCAATACTGCAGCCTTAGAAGCAGTGCTGCAGCCTTAGAAGCGATATTGTAGCTTTAGAAGCAATACTGCAGCCTTAGAAGCAGTGCTATAGCCTTAGAAGCAATACTGAAGCCTTAGAATCAGTGCTATAGCCTTGAAAACGTTACGGTAGCCTTAGAAGTAGTACTATAGCCTTAGAAGCAATACTGTAGCTGTAGCTTTTATCTAGCTTCGTTAAATTTGACCTTTAAACTGTTAACTGGACATCAGTGTCTTTTTAGCTCCGTTATAGACGTTCTTTGTTAGACATCAGTGTCTTTTTCATCCATTTCCACACCCTTTTTTCCTCCCATCTCTCATCCCAAATCGCAATGACGTCAAAAGATAAGTAATATCCAATTGAACATTGAAAAATAGAGATAGATAGGGTTTTTTTATGGGTTATATATATTATTTCTAGCCAAAATACGGAAAAATGACTCACGATCAGCACAAATTAGAGATTTTTGATTGAAAATACAACAAACGAACTCCGTCAATCGCTTTCCCGACCTTGAAAACCCCTGAGTACAAACTTTTGGCTTGATATCTCATCTGAAAAATGTTTACATAAGAAATTCCTTTGTAAAGAGACTGCGAGGTGTTCTTTGTGCGGTGGGGGAATCGCTCGCCATCTGACGCAGGGCTTTTTCATAATAGGGGCTTTTCGCTTCCTGGCTAACTAACTTGGCCTTTCGATTCGTCGCCGTCAATCCGGATCTCGCCGATGTAATTTTATTAAGACTATAGGTTCCGATGCTGAATGGGTTTTATATGATGAGGATTATATCGGAACAATATGTATTAAAGTCTCATGAATTTCCCATGGGCCTTTCTGAATTCGTTTCTGGATTTCTGAACCTATAAGTTGCAATGCTGAATCTCTTATAATGATGACAATTGTAGCTCAAATATGGCTCAAAATCTCAACAATTTCCTTTAGGTCATTTTCTCTTTCTTCTCGGCGATCTCTACGGTCCGGGTAGCACCAGATTTTAACCGAAAGTGACAGTTAACTTCTAAGTGACTTCTAAAACTGATAACTAACTTCTAAACGCCTAACTTTTTCTCAACTCCCTTGAAGGCCACTGCAGCTGAATCTTTATCCCCATGATGTAGGCCACTTTAGACCACTTTCACTTTCTCGTCGGTCCGGGTAACACTGGCCGTATCCGAAGGGGCACCGATAACCGAATGACGTACTGATAATGGAATGACGATGATGACTCGATCTCGATGATCCCCATCCCAATTATGACTCAAATAATCAATTTTAAATTCTCTCTTCAGCGAAAAGAAAAAAGATCCTCAAAAAGTGTCTCTCCGAATTGATAACTTGATCGAGTTGAGCAAATTTCTCTAAAAAAATCGTCAAAATCATCGTGTTCATTTCAAGGTCGGTTTCGGTGGTGATTTTTTTGTGGAAAAATTGTTATTTTGTTCAAGCTTAGGTCGTGAAACTCAAGTCTGAAGACTCAAATTCTCAAGAAATCTGCTTTTGATTGTAATGCTCAAAGCTTTTTTTTACTTTTTTCATCTTTTGCTTTTGCTTTTGCTTTCTCATTTCACAATCAGTTCCGCAATTTTGCCCACCACTTGTTATGAAGGAGAAAAAGTTGCTGAGATGTTATCAATCGCCATTTTTTGACTTTTAAATTAACCAGCATTTATTGATTTCCCCATTTCACCCATCTTTGATCAATTTCAGATGATCCTTTTATTGATATTTCTTTTTATTGTCCCGATTCTCACTCAAAATCCGGCTTGTCGAAATGCGCCCACTCCTGCAGCAAGAATTGTCTGCGAGCAGCTCCACAGATGGGACACAACGGCCAGGGTATCATTTTTAAAGCATAAAAACTCTTTAAAAAGCAGTGAGAAAAAAGTTTTTGATTACGCTAACAATACCTAGTGAAATAAGATCAAAATATATCAACTATCCAGATGTTACGTCCATTATTGAATCTATTCAATAACAGACGTCCGGTTCTGAATCGTTTTTTTCCTAACTACACTTTTGGTAATAAAAAATACTAGATTTTAAGGGCTATCACCCAAGCACGTAGCATAAAGCATCCAGCATAAAGCATCCAGCATAAAGCATCCAGCATAAAGCATCCAGCATAAAGCATCCAGCATAAAGCAGCGCAGAGAACGGGACTACGGAGAACGGGAACAAAGTTAGACTACGCCTCTGTACGCCCGGCATTATCGGGGTGGCGTGCCATAATGACAGGCGTACAGTCGTTCGCCTTGGCATTCTATTAAAGTCTTTACGGTAGGAAAAGTAACTTGAAAAAATAGAAATCAATGATTTTAATGATTTAATGGTTACTCTAGTACGCGCATCATTAAAATAACTCTAGCAGGCGCATCATTAAAATAATTTTGCGTTCCTATTTTGCGCAGATCACAACCTGCTTCCACATTTCTCTATCCCTTGCTATTGTCATCCAGTGTTTCCTAGCTTGATTGTTTCTGGTTCGAAGTCTTCGACTTGCTGGTGCTGGTGGTGGTTGCACTCTAGCCATCCTTTCTCTGACCGTCTCTGCCACTCTTGTGCTCCACCTCGTTGCTGGTCTTCCGATGGGCCTCTTCTGGTCTCGTGGTAGCCACTCTGTGATCCGTATCGTCCATCTGTCGTCTGTTCTTCTGGCTACGTGGCCGGCCCATCTGAGTCTTTTTCTCTCAATCACTTCCACTGGATCTCTGAGTCCCGAGAGCTGGCGCATATCCGTACTTCTTTAGACCAGAAATCGCTAAAAGACGAGCGGCCTGGACAGCACTAGGAAGCATCAAAGAAGTCACAAAGAAAGTGGCCTGGACAGCACTAGGAAGTATCAAAGAAGTCACAAAGAAACCGTAAGAATAAACTAACAAACAAAGAATAAACTAACAAACAAAGAATAAACTAAACAAACTAAAAGAACAAAAATAGAGATGTGAAACGCGCAAGTTAGCTAGGAAAGTGTTGATTGATTCAAAAACGGACTTTCGATTCTGAATCGGACAATTCAACTTAATTCAACATATTCAACATATAAGGCTTTTCAGCAAGCCTCAGCCAACAAGCCGACCGTTCATCTCCCACCGGGTGCAAGTGGTGCTTCGTGGGCTGGAGATCTTGCCCCAATTGTGACGAATCTTCGTGCATGCACTGATATGGCATGTGTATGTCAAATGTTAGCTGGTTTGTTCTTTTCAAATCTTTGAAATTTGATTTTAAAGCTTTCTAGGAACGAGAAGCAACTCTTGCATCTATCAAGGGAAACGCGTCGGGAAAGTTTGTTTATTTTATAAACATCACAGATTTTGTTTATTTTATAAATAGAATAGTGCAAAGGGAAGATATTCAATGAATGAGATATTCAATGAATGAAATATTCAATTAATGACATATTCAATGAATTCATCTATTCAATTCCATTCTTGAATGAAATCTTCCTATTCAGCTTGTTCGCAAGGAGTACCGAATGATGAGCGATTATGAAAGACAACGATTTCACGGAGCTGTGAATACATTGAAACAAAGTGGAACTTATGATCAAATTGGTAAGTTTAAAGGATTTTTCCTATCGATTCCTTTCCCATTTGCATATCAATTCAGCGAAAATGCACTCACAAATGAGTCAATCGGGCGGCGCACACTCGGGACCAGCATTCCTTGCATGGCATCGAGAGTTCATCAAAGAGTGAGTCACAGATTTGTAGTGACAGATTTGTAGTGACAGATTTGTAGTCACAGATTTGTAGTGACAGATTTGCAGTCACAGATTTCCTCAAACAAACTCGAACCTCGATTTCCTCGTCTTTTGTTTATGATTGATATGTTTATGATATGATTTCTCTGACTTTTCTGGATTTTAACTTACAACTTAACGCGTTTTTTCCCTTTTTTTGTGTTATGCTTACTAATATTTCCTTTTTAGGTAATGTCGTCAATCAAAAATCGTCAATCGTCAATCGTCAATAGCCTCTATAAACGAGCAACAATGCAACGAATCCGAAATAGGCCGAATTTCGTCGGAATTTCGAACGAGGATTGAACAAACCTTTGATGATGATGAAAGCAAAGACGAAGGCAAAAGGATTCAAGAGAAACGACTAAACAAGAACAAGATGCAAACGGAAATAAAGCCGAAAATGCGACGAGTGCAAGAGGAAAGTGGCGAGCTTTTGATGTAAAGATTGAAATCATCAAATAAGTGAATTGAAGTCATCAAACAAGTCAATTGAAGTCATCAAAAACGCCAAGATGAATTCTGGAACCGCCAAACTATTTGGAGTAAGCAGAAAATCGATTCAAGAATGAAAGCAACAAGAAGAAGCACTCAAACAAGTCGAGGACGGAAAAAGGAAACGAATTGACGAAGGTGGCACCGTTTGACATTGACATTGACAGATTTGGCGGCACCTGAAGTGAAATGACACCACTTTGACCACTTTGACACCAGAAGTGACACCACTTTGACCAAGTGGATTCGAGATCAATGAGCCAAAAAGAAGCTGCTTTCCAGAAGATGCCCGACTCGATGAAGAAATTGCGGCTATTCCTGAAGGGTTGGATACAATGGGAGAAAATGCATTAAGCTTCGATTTAGATGCACCCTTAGACTTTATGAATTATTAAAATCTTGGTCCTTTATGGTTAAATCTTTATGGTTAAAATCTTTATATCTTTTATTTGTTTGTTTTAATTGTTAATTTGTTATTTTGTTATGTTCACTGGTGGAAAAGTGAATAAATCTTAAGGATTGTTTTCTTGTATTCATTGCAACTACTTTTGGTGATCCAAGAGGTTTACTTGTTGACTTGGGCTGTCAAACATTAGAGCCACACCCTCTAATAGAGCCTCACTCTCTAATAGACCCGTACTTTTGGTGACTACCGAAAAATAGAGGATTTAGGGTAAAGAAATTGCGTATAAACAAATTTACATAACGACGATAGCCTCTTTGAAGCGCACGCTTTAGAAAGCGCATTTATCACGTGGAAAACACTCTAATCTGCACAGATTCCTTTCAATTGCAAATGGCTCAAGCGGCTTTCCGATTTCAAACTAATTTCAAACCAGTTTAGCTCAAAGACGATTTTCAGAGTCGAATTCGAGTTACGCCGAATCGATCCCGATATCTACATTCCCTACTGGGATTCAGCTCTCGAATCCCGTCTACCGAGACCCCAAGACTCGTCGTTTTTCTCGTAAATTTTTTAAACAGACCCAGTTCTATTAAAAGTTCTATCCACAGATTGTAGCTTAACGCTTAACAGCTTAACGTACTCTTGTAAAGAAACAATTTTAGTGCCGAATTGATGGGAACGGGCAGTGGAAATGTGGTTGAGGGACCGTTCGCTAATTGGAGAACGATTGAGGTGAGTTTGGAGCTGATACAACACTTGCGACCTTTTTCCGAGAAAATTTCTGGGTTGGCGCAGTTGGCTAAAGCGATTCTGGGTTGGCGGTTTAAAGCGTGGTAAAACTACCGTACCCCTCCTAATTTGCGCGAAATTTCATTTTTTTCATTCTTTTTCCATTTTTCTGATGTGGTCGCGTTTGTTTTTGCAGGAAACAAAGAGGATAAAGCTAAGTTACGTTTTTAACAGCATTTTCTCTGGCGGAAGCTTTGTTTGTAGAGTTTTTTTTTTTAGACCCACTTGCTTCCCGAAGATCTGCTCCACGAACTTGATGCCAAATAATGTTAAGTTAAGTGCTTTTCATCATTTTCTATGTTAAATTAAGTGCTTTTCATCCTTTTCTATGGTGGAAGCTTGGTTTTTGTGACTTTTTAGTTGAAAAAGCGTTGAAACGTCGAAAAAACGCAAAAAGAATCAAATGAAATGAACAAGAATGAAAAAAATGAAATTTCGCGCAAATTGGGGGGGGGGGGGGTACATTAGTTTTATCACGCTTTAAAGCGCCAATCCACGATTTTCTCGGAAAAAGGTCGTAAGTCTTTCAGAAGAGCCTAATAGCCAAAATTTGCAACATCTCCATACATTTTTATCATTTTCTATGTTAATTTAAGTGCTTTTCATCATTTTCTATGGCGGAAGCTTGGTTTTTGTGACTTTTTAGTTGAAAAAACTTTGAAAAACGCAAAAAGAATAAAATGAAATGAACAAGAATGAAAAAATTTCGCGCAAATTAGGTAGTTTTACCACGCTTTAAAGCGCCAACTCAGGATTTTCTCGGAAAAAGGTCGCAAGTGATATAACTTGCCTGTTATCTATACTAACATTTTTGGCTCTTGAGTAGTTGTATTTTTGAAAGAAACCGGGTATTTTGAAAAAATCTGAGACCTTGAACGGGGCGCCACACTTTGAAGGCCTATAACTTTGTCCAGAGATAATATTTTTCTTAACCTTTTATATCATTGTACAGAGGAGATTTCAGGCTTTCAAATGATACCAAATAGAGCTTGATTGGATAATCGAGTCCAAGAAAATCAGAGCCAACTCTGAGCAAATGAGTTTTCGAACTCGAATTCGAACTCGGGTCGTCTGGTTTTCATGGGAATTAAAGTCCAACCAAGCTCTCTTTGGTATCATTTGAAAGCCTGAAATAGCCTCTGTACAATGATATAAAAAGTTAAGAAAAATATTGTCTCTGAACAAAGTTATAGGCCTTCAAAGTGTGACGACCCGTTCAAGGTCTCAGATTTTTTCAAAATATCCGAAAACTACGCAAGTGCCCAACTTTTCAATCTCAATTTCGACATTTCAGAATCAACCACTTCGACGAGCGGCCGGTGGTTCGGGTAATCCGTTTACAGTGAGTTAAACGACTTATTGAAAACCTTTAACTTTTCCAGGATCGAGACATCAATTATATTCTCCAACAGCCCACAATCACAAATGTTCTCGCTTTTTCAGCAGCTCAAGAGGTTTAAGAGCATTTTCAAAGTTTACCTCTCAATTTCCCATTTTCAGCGATGCCCTTACCGTCCGGACTTCAATTGTTTAGAGTACACACACGGAAATGTGCATTTATGGGTGGGAGGTGAGATTACTGTACCTTTCTGCTTACTTTCTGACCGATTCCTGTACAGGTCACATGTTCGATCAGATGACGTCAGCGAATGATCCGATCTTCTACTTGCATCACTCGTTTGTCGACTTGATTTGGGAATCTTGGCGTTTATCGAGACAGGTACATCTTTGGTCAGATTGAATTGGCTCGAAACCAGGCTTCAGGCTCAGGTTCGGGCTCAGGTTTATAAAAAACCAGGCTCAGGCTCAGGTTTATAAAAACCAGAGCCAGGTAGCTTATAAATTAGAGTATAAAACTTTACAGACTCTAGAGTCTGGCTAACAATCTTTCCTTGCGATTTGTGCTTCCTTTCAGAATCGTGCCCAACGTGAGTCCGATTACCCGGCCGACAATCAACTCTGTTCATCAGCTCAACATTTCGGTGCATCTCGAATGGCTCCTTTCAATCAATATCGGTAAAAGGGATCGGAAGTCTTCATCAATCATCATTTAGTAACATTGATGGTCTCTCAAATAAGTACACTGATGAACTCTATCAATACGCACCCCGGCCCACATGCACTTCTGTCAATCCAGGTTGTGGGAGTCGGTGAGTAAAGAAAAGCAGCCGGACGGCTACCTATTTATTTTCCTTACCAGGCTTGTAAGCGGAAAATTTAATATTTTTGATTTTCAAAGCAGAACGAATGGGGCAGCTACGCACTCCGGCGAAAAAGTGCTGAACAAAAGATTATTACCTCGCGAATTTTTCTCCATCTTTGAAGAGCTATAATTCCAAGCCTTTCCATCATAAACTAGAAGTGTTATAATGATTCTGAAAGTTTAAAACGATTCTCGGATAGACCAATTGTAATGGACGACATGAATTGACGTTCCGCATGAATTGAGCACCGAAAATCTGGCGTTTCGATCAGCCATATCTCGCTTCTAAAATCGAAAAGAAGCCATTTTTTTGAGAATATCTTGACGATGGAAAAGAAGTGGATTCTCTTCGATAACACTTCTCGAAAAAGACAATGGCTCAGCAAAGGTGAAATGCCAATTTCAACTCCAAAGCCGGACTTTTTGTTGTCTTTCTGTGGAATATCAATGGGCTTGTTTATTTCGAATTGTTAAAGCCAAACGGTTGATTCATCTTGTTTTATTCAACAGCTCAAAGAAGGTTGACCAAATTTTGCGCCAAAAGGGTTTAAATCCCTCGACTGTCAATTTTCTCCGCGCCAGCAAACACAGCGAAAGCTTCTTGGATGGAGTTAGAGGAATTAGGATATAATGTCTTACCGCATGCACCATACAGTTCAAACTTGTCACCATCTGCTTTTCACCTCTTCAGATCGATGCAACATTCCCTGGCGAATTGCCAGTTTGCCAGAGATCGAATTGCCTTGCGAATTGCCAGAGATCGAAATTTGAGTGACCGACTACTTTCAATCACAGAATCAAGAGTTCTTCGATAATCCTCAATCAGATCAATCGATAATCCTCAATCAGAAGCAACTTTGGAGAGATTTTATAGAAAACGATGATGCTTATTTTGGAATAAATTGTTACCTAAAGGAATTTTGATTAAATTTTTTGTTTGTAAACAAAACGAGATTCCTTTTGCATCAATCTAGTAGCCCGCATTTGTTGTTTTTCTTTGAAAATTAAAGATTCAATTTTCCGCAAGCCTGTTTCCCACAAAGTCAATCTAGTTTCCTCTTCTGCGATGTCTCTCATGGAGCTCCTCGATGTGCAGCAAAGATTCGAGTTGGCGGAAGTGTACGTGGAAGCATATTTAAATAATTTAAATATGTAAATGTTAAATATCTTGCACTATTTACTAAAACGATAAGTCTAAAACTTTTAAACTCTAGTGTCAAGGCTTCGTTCGGGGTGAGGACTCATGCTACAATGGGGTCTGTTGGCAAGGAGTGTGTCGGCCTGGGGTAGGATTTATATCGATATTTGATCTGTAGATCTATAGATCTAGAGCTGTAGATCTATAGATCTGTAAACAGATTAAGTAGTTAATTAGTTATATCGATAAAATAGGCTGTTGCAACAACAACCGTAGCTCCGACGATCACCGTCCGCCCATCGCTACCCGTCCCCAATGTTGTGGTGAGTAAAGAAAACGGAATTATTTCAAGGAACGCACTGCACGTTAGCCTAATATCTAGCTTCCATTTATGAACAATTTCTATTATTCAGGATTGCTGGAACGAGAACCAATGTTGTCAGGCATGGGCGGCAAGGGGCGAATGCACAACGAACAGGGGATACATGCAAGATTTCTGCAAAGCTTCCTGCAATATCTGTCGACCAAATCCACCAATTCGTGATGGTTCGTGGGAATGTTTTCATTTCTGATCTTCCATTCATTTTCCAGATTGCTCTGATCGTCATCCAACGTGCGGCTCTTGGACGAGCACCGGTGAATGCACAAAGAACCCTGATTGGATGACTGAGGTGAGGGTATTCGCCGATACTGTATCCATTCTACAGCATTCTGTATCTAAGCATTATCTCAGAACTGTCGTCGCAGCTGTAATCGGTGTCAACAGACGCGAGCGCAAGCCTGCTCCCGGGGACAAAGTGAGTCCAAAATCGTTTTCACAGAATCGACCCCGACTTTCAACACACATAGATCACGTCGCTAGTGCTATATTTCATTTAAATCCTATCGACCATAAAGAATCCAGGAATCGAGGCCAAACCCCAGCACCAACCCTCCATTTTTAGCCTCGGTAACACAAGCGCCGCGAGAGCAATGCGAGAATTCCCCGGGTTGTTTCCAATGAGTACGCTTGTTGCCCACATTGGGCTAATCAGGTAAATCACAGATTTAACTGCTTTCAAATTCCCATAATGCTAGGGCCAATGTCGCAGCAATCCGAGCTTCATGATGTGCAATTGTCGGGTCTCGTGCGGCATGTGTTTCCCGACCGATTACCCGTATGGAGGTTTGTCGATCTTCTTGATCTTGAACTCGGTGTTATCTGACTTTATTTGCACTAATAATCAAGCTATACCCAAACTCTAGCTTGTGTCGATTACCATCGTGATTGCCAAGCATGGACTCGAAGTGGAGAATGTCGAAAGAACCCGTGGATGGAAGAGAATTGTCGCTCGAGTTGTCAAACTTGTTTTGCCCAATGGGACCTTCGATCGATGTGTGGATCAACGGCAAATGCGGGGTAGATTTTTGGAAATAAGAAGTGACTTTTCAGTTTGTCTGATGTGATGTATTGAATCCTTGTCTGTGAATGTGTATAAAGCCTACAGCAGAAGACCGCTGCCGTTTTTCTGCTAACCACAGCTTTAGCATAATATCCGGAAGTCGTGGCGCCTCATTTGCTTCACGCACAGCGCCAGCAACAGCAATGAGAGCCCGACCGAGGGCTCGTCCAAGAGCAAGAATTGCCCCAAGGTTAAGAAAATAGCCTAAAGCCAGAATTTGCTACTTTAACTGCTAACCTTGCTACTTTAACAGATTGGGGTCACGGAAAGAACAACAAATTCCAATAATCCATTTGCTTAATGTGAAAATGACAGTTTAGATTGATCGCCGGTAATCGTCAAGCAGCTCAAACGAGACAAGTGCCAAGAGCAGGATGGGGTGAGTTTTGAAGTCGCAAAATCTAATCAGAATGACCATACTACTGCTATAATTCTGAAATATTAGATAAGTAAAGTTTAAGGCAATCAAGGTGGTTGGGATGATTCATGGAATGGCAATTTCGACATGGGAAATGTCGGATGGGGATTCGGTGGATGGGGGAGAAGACGAAGGGACACTCAACAGTTTAACAATACAATTTGAGTTATCCTGTATTTCTCGAAAGCTTACAGTACAATGCCTTCCTTTGTTAGTCGCTAGCTAAATTTATATGTCAATTTATTCAATAAAACAACTTCAAAAAATTCAAGTAAATAAAATTAAAAACCCGTATCGATACAAATAAGAAAACCTATTTTAACTTCAATTGCAATGTGCCGGCTGGAGTGGTGATGAGAATCGGTACGGAGATCGAATTAATAATCTGGAAAATAAAATTTGTAAGTTGTAATTACAATTTTTAAAATAAAAACAGGCACTTTTACCAATTTCAAACGGACGGAATCCAAACCTGTTTGGCAACTTCAGCGACGATTTGCTCGGTTTTGTTAGCGATACAGTCTCCTTTCTTGAGATGGCGTTCGGCAAGCAAAACGTCGCCACTCCGTACCACAAGTTGTTGCTCCCAACCCTAAAATAAAATGGATGGGTTGCAAATTTAAAATTGAAAGCATCCCTCAACACACCCTCAATTGCTCCAAAGAGTGGGCCATCGGTAGTCCACTCGCATTCATTGCTTCGGCTAATTGAGCCATTCCAGCTGGTTTTTCTGATAAATGACGAGATGCTCGAATCAAACGTCGGCGATAAGATTCCTCGTAACATTCATACGGACCCTAAAGTTTTTTAAAAAAGGAAAAAAATAGTTTAAACCTTTAACGTTTCGTTTGCATTCCCAAAATGAATCTCTTTGCCGACCACCGTCATTTCTCCACCTTCCACTATTGTTTCGACAACTGTTCCGACGATTATTTCTTTCTTATCGACTCCTACAGTGGAAATACTAAAACGTGGCACATAGAATAAAACATAAAATAAAGTAGGCACCGTCTTTTGCAGATCAAATAGTCACCCAATCGAAGTTCTGCACCGTCGTGTTTATCGAGAAATTGCCATGTTATCTGATTACGACCTAAAAGCTACAGTCGTAAAAAGTTAAAATTTGGAATTCCGCAAAAATAACTAAAGCCTACCGCAAGCTGTGTTCAATTGTTGCAGTGGTGCGCTCTTTCTGTCAGCTATTTGTAGTTGTGCTCGCAGTTGGACGAGTTTTTCTTCAAATGGCGTTTTCTGAGCCCGTCGTTGCTCAATGGTCGGACGCCTTTCAGCCTAAAGAAAAAGTCTTAAGGTGCTCAAAATTCTTCTGCATCAAAACGTAAAAACATTCTGTGATCTTTTTCAATAAGAAATCTTATTTTATCTCGCATAATTATGGGAAATAAAATGCTTACTTCTATTTTCTCCCGAATATCATTTGCGTGGGCTCGTCCGACGCTCGCTTTCACAAAGGCCCGATCATTTTCAAGGCGTCTTGCTCGATCCATTATTCCGCGCCCGAGTTCTCTAAAGAAATAGTACTGGTCCAACTTTCTTTCTCTCTCTCTGAAGATCACCTTATCTTTTCCATCAACGTTGAACTGTACTCACAACCGATCATGTTCACATTGATGAACACTTGTGAGAGGCAGCGCAAATTCTCTCTAAAACAAAAAGTAAAAATAAAATAAAATTGTAATCTTACATTGGGAAATCTTTCCAATGTGCTTCCAAAAATGTTTTCCTTGCTAGCCATACTTGGTCATTTTCCCATGGTCTTCGCTCGGCTTCCAGGTCTTCTTCCGAAAGCTTCTGTTTCTTGACGACGGGCTCATCGTTTTCTTCGGTCATTCTAAATCATATTTTTTCAAAAACAAAATATTATTTAAATAATATCGATTTAAAAAACGGAGATCAAAAATTAAACTAGAAAGTTAATTAAATTAAACATAAACAAATTTACAAGTAAACAGACAAGCATATAATCCTGAAAAAATATGAATTCTAGCCAACTATAAGACCTAAAAAAATATTACACCCCAAAATTGATTATTTCGTCGAATCTTTCATCCCAGCAAAAAACGAGAGATTTCCAAAAACGAAACGAGCTCTTTCCAAATCAACAATTTCCACATTTCGGGTTGGTAACAGCAGATAAGAAGAATCTGAGTGAAACGAAAGTTTGACGAGTTTATGAGTAGTGTCAGCTCCACTTTCCGCCAATGGAATCACATCATCGAGTGGGCGAATTTTATTCTTTCGCCGTCCCCAAAATGACACGTAACCTATTCGGCACCATTGATTTCCTTCGTCCACCGCTACCACACCCACCAACCGGTTCATCGTTCTGCTGAAAATCATCAAAGCTAACGGTGCAAACAGTGCCAAAAGAGTCGTGTTCATCAACCAGGTAGCATCGATCAGGCCTTGCGTATAGTTGTAGAATGAGTAGGGTAAATAGATGATACTGGCAACAGTTTGAACCAATTTTGCTCGAGCGACAAGAACCGCCAATGGCGCAAGGGGATAGCGATAAACGGCTACCCATTTGACATCAGAAACAAGCTTTTCCATTTCCTTATCGTCGAACGTTGGAGCGGCAGCTGTGGTTTTTGAGCGAAGCGCTATCGTTCGAATCCCTCGTCCACCCAATCGAGACAGCAACTCCTTTTTCTCGAATGGATTTTCCGCGCGTTGTGATGAAAGCCGAGCACTTCTTCTCGTGTAACCGTGCGTTGACGTAGAAGCGATAGCCGATGTCCGGGCTGCGATTTGTGTTGCGGGTCGCTTTGCTTTCACAATAGCTTGTCCGAGCAGAAGGCCAGCGGGAAGAAGCGTCATCACCTTATAATAACTAAAGATAGATTCTTGTAAAATCAAATAAAGACTTTTGACGAGTGATGAGGTAACGAATGGCAAACAATTCTGGTAGCAATTGTACACCCAAACAAGTCAATATTTATACGATCAACAACCTACAAAAATTAAGTACCCGAGAAAACAAAGTGACAAAACACTTCACCTTGAAATTAACTATGTATGAACGATAATGTAACAAGAACAAATGGAAACGAATCCCTCACATAAAGCTTGGATCCTGCATAAGGGTGTATAGTAAAACAACAAAACCACCTAATGGAATGAATAAGGCAAACCAATAAGAAACACAAAATATTAAAAGACTAAGACAAATTACACATAAAACACGACGTTTAGCAAGAAATTTTAAATTAAGTAGAGCCGGGCATTCTGGCATAGTCGATTGAAAATATGGAGCACATTGGTCCGGTCTAGGCATAGGTGGATCCAGCAAGAACCTTGCAAACGTTCCTGAATTACTTTATAAGAGCATCTACAATGAAAATAATACCTTTCCATGTTGGGTAGTCGTAAGACGTGGCTAAATCTCGTATACAGGATGAGCCAGAAAGGGTCATCGATAAGGAAGCCAGCATCTTGGACAGCCATTTGACTTCACCTTAAGAGTTTGAAAATGAAAAACGAACGTTTAAAAAACCTGAAAGGTTGAGAAGAATCGATGGCAGAGTCGACTGACAAGTGGCGAAATCGAATGAGCATTCACGACTAATAACCTTAAAAATTTTAGTCATCATATAAATCTGAGAAATATACCTGCCGACGTCCTTCTGGTGTAAGCGTCATAATTCCTGTATGAGGATCTCTTTGATGATCTGGTATTTTTGAGACTCGAGAACGAGGAGTCGTGTGAAGAAGCCTGTGCGATGAAGTTGACGTTTGAAGGGTCGACGGAGGAGTATCTAAACAACAACCATACAAATTAAAATAGAACGAACATACTTAAATAGCCAATTGGTGGTAAATGTAGATGTTCGACCGCTTCTTTCACGGCGTCATCAAGTTGCATCACCTCGTCCCTTAGCTTGAATAGCTCGTTATCCTCCTCACTGCCGACCATCTTTTTCCACCACGAATTATTCAAAGCCTAAAGTTGCTACCCAAATCTAAATTTCGTAAATATCCATTACCCGTTCCGTTACTTCATCGATATACGCTCTTTTTGTTTCGCGAAGACTGCGAACCGCATTAATTGTCTCGATCGTCTTTGCACAAGGATCCACGCCCAACATCCTAAACTCTCTATTTTTGCATGATAAATTTTTATACCTGAGAGCATCTACCATTGGTGGCTTCCAACTGCACTCAAACACGGACTTTAGCATCCGAACACTTTCTGATCCAGATCCCAATTCGCGTATTCTATCGACAAAGAAATAAAAAATCAAGCCAAATTAACACTTACCTTCGAAAAATTTTACCAAGCAGAACGGTGTAATACTTTTCGTGATTTTGAACAAATTGTGTGAACGGTCCAATAGACATCTCATCGCCAATTGGTGCCACATAGCGCCATGGACGAACCCAAGTAAGCCAAATATCTTAAGAGCTTATTGTTAGTAAAAAAAACTCGAACTCACCAACAATATCTTTAAAGATAATCACGCTTTGGCATTCATTAAGAGTCTCTTGTAAGAATTGATAAAGCGCCGAAGCAAACATTGGTCGAACATGAACACGCAACTAAATAATACTAATACTTTAAAGAAAAATGACCGCTATCTCAAACCTTCACGGAGGCGACTTCTGGGTTGGCGTGAGAATTTAGGCAAAATATGTGAAATTGCTTACATAAGTGCCGCAAAAGAACCAATCTAAAAAGTTTATGGTAAAAATAAAACTGCGTTTGTGTACCTGTTAACGGAAGGAAATTGCGTTGTCGAGCAAAGTGTGATGATGAAGCGTGAGATAAAAGAGATGAATTTTGGGCGTAAAGTCACATCAGCCTCCTGCACTTGGGTAGATATGTCTAAAACTCTTCTCATTTTTCAATTCTCATTTTAGTTTTTTGAAGACTTACCAGTGCTTAACTTATTCAGAATTGGTGAATCAGGCAAAAACAGATTCAGCGGTGTGCAAATCCGATATGCCACTAATTGTGGGCGACACGAGTCATTTCGAAACTGTTCTGTGGATGCCTCGATTGGGAGTAGTCGTTTTATCCACTCTCCAGCGCATACCATTATAACTAAACGCCAATATTAAATAAACTTTCTACGTGAATTACCGGAATTGATCAAAGTTTGCGTCGCTTTGTCCAAATGTTCCTTCACCGCGTTCCAAAGTTCATCTCCAAGCATTTCATCGCTTTCAAGAATTGTCTAAAGCAATCAATAACAGATATCGAGAAGTTGATTACCTCAAAAAAGGAACTGTTCGCATTGATGAGATCGTAGATTAATGTGTATGGGTGATCCGGCGAAGGATATTCTGGTGGTAATACACTGCATAAGTCGACATTTGGATCACAAAATAGTCGCCGAATTATTTCCTATAAAAATAACTATAATAATGCAATATGAATTGGCTAGAGGTAGAATATGCACTCACTCTAGCTGCCAGTGGTGAATTAATCGTGTATTTCTCTCGAGCTGCCAAAAGGTCTCTGTAAATTACGCCCCCCCTATCTTGAACACAGCTTGATGTCGGTGATGCAGTAAACATCTAAATTTTCGCGCCATCAATTTCGCCGACTTGATTTTTATCTGGCCAAAGAACGGAGTCGAATAAATGCGAACTAATTTGAGATAGCAAAATCAATGTAAAAATTTATTAAGTACATACAAAATCCCAAAAAAAATGCAGAAATCGAATAATCCCAAGAATAGCAAAACGAAGTAACATAGTCAAATAAATTATATCACAAACAAATACAAAATGTGCCTAAAACAGATGTTCGGAAAACTTAACGGCGGGCAAATTTAATCTTTTCTCGACGACGGTTTTTCTTATCGTCCATTTCGCCTTGCTCTGGAGTTGCCGAAGGAGCGGTGGCCCAAGGAATAACAAACGAAAATAGTATCTAAAATCAAACTAAAACTGCCTGTCAGTTACTCTCACCTTATATCCAACGTATCCAGGAATCGCTAGCAACAACAAGTATGCGTAAGCGGTATAAAGAGCCAGTGCCTTAAAATTTATAAATTAAACAAAAGCCGCTAATTACTTACCTGAACAGCGGTCGCTAAAATGATCGAGTCCTTGCAATATTCTCCGAACGCTTGTGGATCGTTGAGATCAAGACCAGCATCAACCAAATGCCTATAAGCCTAATTATTTATCTTTCTCTACCATCACCTACCCTCGATCATCAAATGAAGCGCGGGCCATTGTTTTCATCATCAGAAGCGCGCCGAGTTGCATGAAGAATGTTACACCCCACCAAACCCATTCATTTTGAGTGACTTGCCAGAGGAAAAACCCGCAAAGAAAGTAGGCTCCCTAAAAACCTATGTTAAATCCTCGTAGCAACAACCTACACTTGAAATTAATGCCGCAAGGCCATAACCTTGTATCGTCGTCTTATTCTCTTTGTAAATCTCCTTTTGCCCCTTTGTCCCCTGCTTTCCTTTCGGCTTCTCCATCTGAAAAAATTTATCCTGCTCACCTGGTATGATTTTTGAAAGATATGAAAAAATCTACCCCGCCACATAATTTTTGTAATTTCTAAGATATTATCCGGCAAACGGATGTTTTTGCCTATGCAAAATTAGTCACGACCATTTACTGTCAAATATAGAAATAGTATCATAATGGCAGGAAAAAATGAACATATGCAAAAAGAACCGGCAACAAACTCGCTTTCCCGGGCATTCGGACAAGAAAATAGTTATCACTAGAAACGTTAAAAATTTCCTAACCACAGAGAAATTAATTTAAACGAAGAATAATTTGAGCTGTTTAATGATTGTGAAGAACAAGGCGGAAAATTTCGTTGGCGATAAAGTACGAGCCTGCATTGGGTTTAAGGACGAAGAGTTGATTGTAGGATTGCACGGGGTCTTCGTCCGTCTAAAATCGAACAATAATTAAATGTAGAGTTGCAATACTTGAATAACTTAAAGGTGGTGACTAGCTAGGTTTCTTGAAAAATGCACTAGATAGATTAATTGCACTTCATCAATAACTTAAACACAAAACTTGCATACCTTTAGCTGCCCAAGTACCGAAATCAAAATAGATCCGTCGTAAAGAGGTTGTGCGTCAGTTTTTGTGATCCCTCGTTGAATTTGACGAAAAGTCAGCGACTAGAATTTTGATGTAAAACAAAGTCGAAAAAAGAACTCACGCTAAACTTCTGCAAGATACTATCGCGTCCCCGGACCTGCATTCCCTCAAAGGTCATGTACGAGTTCTCCGGATCATACAGATCGGCGAGTCCTTGGGCACGTTGCGTAGGATCTCCCACGTCAAACTTTTGATAATAGTGCCCGATGAAAGCGGTTCCAATTGTCTCATAGTCAGGATTAAAAGACATCTAAAGAAAAAAGATTAATACATGGAAAGACCTAAAATCCAACACAGAAAGCTCTATAGTAGTAACATACATAAAAACAACACCGAAAATTTGCTTTCAAAAAGTTTCAAAGAGCGGTTCTAAGGTCTTTCCTAGTAGCGTTTGTAGTTTAACATCTTAATAATGAGCCCTCTTGTAGCTCATTATTAAGATGACTATTCAACTGAATATCTTAGCTAGGTTGAATCTTGGCTTTGCATATACTTTCACAGTGTCCCCCATGTGTCCCCCAGAGCAGGCATGTCAACTCCGCTCCTTTTTTCGGTCCGTTTGCCATTGGCAATCTACGTATTTTGCTCGTAGCTTAGCCTGGTTTGTTTGAAAAACGCTGAATTTGCTTTCATTCGACTCGAAATCAAATTTTCTATCGAATGAAAACAAATTCGACGTTTTTAAAAAAAAACAGGTCAAGGTACAAGCAAAATTCGTAGATTGCCAACGGCAATCGGACCGAAAAAGGGGCGGAGTTAACATGGGTGCCTCGGAGTACCGCCCACAAGTGTCCCCATTTCCAGAGGCAAACTACGTTTTTTGTTTTTCTCGCGCGAGTGGCGAGAAAAATAAAAAACTTCAGCGGACACTATAAAAGTATAGCTTTGCATTTGAATTTCGGGTTTCGCAAAACTCGCAAACGAAATGGAAATGCCTTTCTTTTTTAAAAAGCAAACATTAAAAATTTATCCGCCCAGGTTACCCAATACTAAAAGAGCAAAATTAAAAACCAAATCAACTTGTAGTCCAATAAGAGAACAACAATGAAATGCATTCGAAACACGATAAAAAGGCGCCATAAGAGATGAAGAGAAAAGGGGGAAATTTATCGTGCAGAGACACTCGTAGCACTACACAAGACTCCGAACGGCAATTTTCTGGCTCCATTTGAAAGGCGTTATGTGTGTCAGGGGGGTAGAGCGCTCTGTTACAATTGCATCATTTTTACTAGAACATGATTCCACCCTTTCAGGGTTTTATAAAGCTTCAATTAGGCTTTGGATAAATTTTTGGCTCAACCCTTAAACTCTTCCGATATCTTATTTTTCAAACATTTTTTTAACTTTTTTAACTTTAGGATGGCTGAGAAAGCGGCGGCGAAAGGAGTCGAGCTGACGGAGACGGACCAGGCACGCTACGATTTGATTATTCGCAATTTACAGGTTGGATTTTCAAATTAAACCTTATTCTCAAATCTTATTATCTAGGAAGTTCTTGGTGGTGAAAAGCTGAAGGATCAGCTAGCACGTGGAAAAAATGTGCACGTTTATTGGGGAACAGCAACGACGGGAAAGCCGCATGTTGGATACTTGGTGCCAATGAGAAAAATTGCCGACATGCTACAAGCGGGATTAAAGGTAGTGGTTTCATTCAAATTATGAGATAACATGTAGTTAGCACATACGGCACCGATTCTCTTTTAATCTAAACGCTTAAGAGATTTTTAGGTTACGATCTTATTTGCTGATTTACACGCTTTTCTCGACAACATGAAAAGCACGTGGGAGCTTTTGGAAAATCGAGTGATTTACTACGAAAATGTAATCAAAGCTCTTTTGCAATCTCTCGATGTGCCGATTGAACAATTGCATTTCATTCGAGGAACCACCTACCAGTTAAGCAAGTGAGTATTGCTTGTTTTTTAATCACTTTAAGCTTTTGTATAGGAACTACACATATGATATTCTTCGATTATGTGCGAAAATCAGTCAAAGAGACGCTCTGCGTGCTGGTGCTGAAGTTGTGAAGCAGGTTGGTTGTTGTTCTTGAATGTTATTACCATTTTTAGGTCGAATCACCATTTCTCTCTGGCCTGCTTTACCCACTTTTGCAAGCGCTTGATGAACAATATCTGAAGGTAATTTATTCAAAGATACCCATTTCTTTTTATTCTAATATTTGTTTTAGGTGGATGGTCAATTTGGAGGCGTTGATCAACGAAAGATTTTTATCCTTGCTGAGGAACAATTACCAAAGTTAAAACTTGGAAAACGCTGGCATTTGATGAACCCAATGGTCCCGGGTCTAACTGGTTCAAAAATGAGCAGGCACGTTTTTTTTGTTGGCAAAATATGACTCTTTTTAGTTCTGAAGAAAACTCGAAAATTGATCTGCTTGATGAGCCACAAATTGTACAACGCAAAATTGAAGGAGCAATGTGTGAAATTGGTGCGGAAGATAATGGTGTTCTGGCGTTCTATCAATATGTACTTTTTCCAATTGTTCTACCAAACCCAGTCAATGTTAATGGAAAGTTGGTTGTTTTTATTTATTTCAAGCCTTTTTTAAAATCAGGAGTTATGGATCTTTTGATGAGCTAAAGGGAGCTTTCATCAATGGATTGCTAACAGGAGCTACTTTGAAAGAAGGACTCCACAAATTTCTCAATGAGCTGCTGGCAAAGGTGTTTCTTTATTTTATCAAAATTCACAGCTAGTTTAGGTCCAAAACAGATGTGATACTCCTGAAATCAAAGATGCTATACGTAAAGGATATCAAGATGTGCCCGAACAAAAAGCAAGTTTTATTGGTTGCATATAGTAAACAAAACACTTTTTAGGTTTCTTTGAGTCCAACATCGATTCAACTTTCAGAATCAGAAAAGAAAGCCTTTGACCAAATCGTTAATGGACTCTCTGTAAGATTCTTGATAAGATCACGTGTACTTTATAGGCTATTTTAGATTGTCGGATCCGAGCACTCTTTAAAGAGAAGTCTTCAATCCAATGAACCACTGAAAGTTTCAATTCCAATATTCTGCAAAGGGCGCTTTCATCTAGGTTACTTGATGCCCTTGCTATTGATCAAGGTAAATGACCCTTTCAATCTTTCAAACTCATTTCTTTAGAAATATTTGGCAAGTGGTGTTAACATTCAAGCGAGCATTTTGCTAATCGATATGATTGGCTTCTTGGATAACGAAAAGGTATTCAAATCTCTCTCTTGAACAAGAGAGGAAAATCTTGGTTAAAATAGCGAGTTGATAGATTCCGTGGGCAGCACGAGACGGACGAGCAGCCTATTTTGCAGTTGCTCTGAAACAAGTTATCCAACTGCTGGGCTTGGAAGACAAAGTGCAAGTGTGCCGGTCTGCGGATGATGAAAACAATAACTTTTCAAAGTGAATAAACTTATTCATACAAGTTAATACCTAGTTATTTAGAGACTACGTATTGGAGATGTACAAAATGGCTTCAATTGTGACTCGAGATGAAACATCGATATCAGAAGGAACAATGCTATCTGGAAACTTGGTAAAATAAGTTATGTAAAGCTACCTACGTGTTCTCCTATTAAGATTCCACTAATATATGCACTCGATGTTCACTACAGTAACGCTGATGTTGTGCTGCTGGGCGAAAATAATAAGGATCAAATAGCCACACTAGCGGAAAAGGTTATTAGCATAATTTAAAGCAAATACCAGCTTTGATTTAGTTGTGGAACAAGTCCATTGGTGTCAATGGACCGACTCAGTTGATCTACCCTTGCCTGATTGGAATGAACGAAGCCAAAATGTCGGCCACTGTTCTCGATGCGCAGCTTGATCCGCTCGATACTGCTAAACAAGTAAACAATTTGATTTTTGTTTTTGATGGGTGAATATTTGAATTATTTAGCTCAAGAAAAAGATTGCCGGTTCGTTCTGCGAGCCGCAAAATGTCAAACGGAATGTTGCTCTTACTCTTGCGCAACAACTCGTTTTTCCATTGCTGGATGGAGAACGTAAGTGTTCGATTGATTTCCTTTATAGTTTTTATTTCTAGCGCTTGAAATTAGCAGGAGCGAAGAAAATGGTGGAAACATTTCGATTGAGAATTTCGATCAACTTGTGAAAGAATTTGAGGTGAGTTTATTTTATAACAGCTTGATTAATTAAGTCACTTATGAGCATTTATTTATTTTATCTTGTTCCTAAAAAGATTACTGAATTTAGGTCGGCTCAAATCCGCAATTTCCATTGCATCCGGCAGATTTGAAGACAGCCGTTGTGAACGTTATCAATAAGTATGTTCTTGTCACTTTACATTAATCCTTGTTAATTGACTGTTATAATTGCAACTCACTAATTTAGGCTCTGCGAGCCTCTTCGATCAAGCATTCCACAAAACGTCGTGACAGCCGCTTTTCCAAAAAATAAATAAAGTTACTTTTTTGGGTTTTGCTAAAATTTATCCGGTTAAATTTTTGGTGTGAGCTTTATTTGTTGATTTTTCTGTTTCTAAGTCACAATTTGCGCTTCATGTGTGGTTACAGTAAGTTTTTCATTATAGGTATTGATCGTTTTTGCTTAATAAAGATTGCACTATTGTTGATTTTTGAATTGTTATTGGGTATGGGTAATAAATGTTTTTTTTTATTTGTTTTCAAAGAACAGGGCCGTTTATCCGCCGATTTTTGATGTCAGTTTCATTGTTATATACGTCAGACTTGGTGTGATTAACCTATTTTCAGGGAGATGGATGGTGGTTCTTCCGAGTTGGACGTGACGCATGCTCATTTTTTCGACGAAACTTTACCATATGATAGTTCACACGGATCATTTAATGGTATTTTCAACCAATAATAGAGTAAAAACTTACATTTTTTAGAGTACTCAACACCAACGACGTCATTGCCCTTGATTGATACTGCTGGTAAATTTGTGCCTTTAAAGAGATATATATATGTATCTCTTTAGACGAGTTCTCTCAGCCGATTTCTGCTGCTACTTTTTGAAAGAAGCTTGTCCTGAGGTAATCTTTAAAGTGTTGAGTGACAGACGCTGAAATTAAGGACTTAAACCAAAACAAAAAGCGAACGCATGGTTTTACAATGAATGAAACAAGAGACAGACCGTCAACATCACCACGCTCGCCGATCAAAAAGGTACAAAATTTTGCATTATTGCAGAAAGTTACAAGTGAAACTTTCCAGCTTTCTCGTCCTTCGGAAACAAATACTCCAAACTCGCCATCAAACATAGAGCAAGAGGTTTAAAATTACACGAAAAAATATTGCAGTCTTTTTAGTATGACCCGTTGAACAATTTGCGCGTCGATTTGATAAATGACTTTAATACAATGGATCAATTTACTAAACGTGAGTTAAATTATAGAGTTTAGAATTTAAAGTATTTTTAGCTATCGCTTCCACGCTGAAAGAGGCCTTTACAACTCCGGCTTGGAATCCTAGCACAACACCGACAAGGAGGTAAGCTAATCAGTGATAATTTATAGGTTTCAATTTTTAGTGCTTTGCGCAAAAGACCCGTAGAGTTCAACAACATCACTCCTATCAACAGTCCCAAACTGTCGTGGCGTGAAGTTTCGGTTTATTACTTCGGCCGTGCTCAGGGGGTTGACACTGTTCCTCACGAAGGAGAAATTTCTCTTGGTAGATTTAATTTTAGTAAATAAAGCCTCATAATTTAGGTATGCAAACTCGTCATCATACGCGACGCTCGTTCCCTCTTATTCGTAAAGGGCAACCTTACATTGGAATTGACGACGAGGTTTTGAATGGTTGCACAACTTTGTTAAATTATAATTTGCAGGTGGTCGAACTGTCATCCGACGAAGAAGAACCACCACATTTTGAAAGGAATACCGCCAAAAAGATCCAAGGAATGTCGAGACAGCAAATCGCTAAATTGCTGAAGGTTTCCGGTGTAAATGTTGAAAGGGTAAGTGGCTTAGTCAGCGTTTCTAGAACTTTTATTTTGTAGGCTGGCCTCCGAGAGCTCGAATTGTTGCGCGAAAGTCGTCGATCAGCTGGCTGTTCGTGTCCGAATGGCATTTGCCTTCCAGAAACATGCCAGTGTGCTCTTGACGGAATCAAATGCCAATGGGATGGCGCCGGACAAGACTATGGTCCATGCCCCTGTGACATTGGCGTCACTTGCGAAAATCCCGAGGGCCGAGTTGAGTTCAATCAGTGAGTTTATGTTTTGCTTGTCATTGCTGCTACTCTTATCAAATTACAACAACGATAGATTCAAAATTTTTAGGGAAAAGGTAGCTGCACATCATATGGCTGCAAGGCAACGTTGGAAAGATTCACAACGAACGGTTAGTTAATGTCATTACATTTGCTCAAATTCTTTCTCAGGGTAACTACTCTGCACCAAGCCGTCGCAGGCTCGACAGTGAGGATCAGACGAAAACCTACTGTGAGACTCCACCAAATACCGGAGATGGATGTGGATATCTACCAACTTTACGACTTGGTTCAATTACAGAGGCAAGTTATTAAAGGAGAGGTAACATAAAAATATTTTACTTTGTTGTTGGCATAATTTTAATTATTTTTTATCGTGACACTAACAATGTTGTTTTGTAGATAAACGACATTGTTGTTCTACCCGAAGAAAATTCACAGCTCGGCGAAATCGAATCGATCGTTGCGCATCGACCAAAACCCTCGCCAAGAAAAACTCCAACAAAGGTTTGAAAAACACGCAACACATCAATCTTTAACCCTGTCAGCTTTCTATCCCTACTGTCGCTATTTAACCGTTAAATAGTGGTTGGTGGAGATCAACAATCGCCTTATTTTCGGTTTGCACGTTTCTTTTCCATTTAGCCCCCAACAACTCCAACTCGACGACAGCCATTACGTACAGCATCCCTTTCTCGCCTCAACACACCAACAAAGATCACCGATTTGGAAACGGAACTACCAATTAAACTTAGGTTATTAAACACAGCCTTTCTATTTTATGTTTCCCTTTGTTGTACTGATAAAAACTCTCAGATAGCAGAACTTTTAACTTACGAGAAACTAATTCGTAATGTATCCATGAACACTTAGAGGGTTTATGTATTACCTATTTAGACTTCGACGATCTTCGTCAACAAGCGCAATGGAAAATCCAACCGAAGAAAAAGTTAAAACCCCAAGGTAGACCCAAAATTTTAAATTTGTAACTTTTGCTTTTAGAATGCGCCGTTCTTCCTCCGTTCCTCGTTCAAGTTCTACTTCAAATCTCGCAGAATGTATTGAACAAAGTAAATCTTGGGTAATTATTGTAAAAAGTTTTTTTTTAGATAAACCAGACCTGCCACCTATTGCACTTGCTTTTCAAACTCCTACTTCAATGACTGCATCAGCTTCTTTACAGCGCTCAATCAGCCGTGTAATCTCAACTTCTCGTCTTCGACCGGCTACCGCTTCATTTGTTGATCTTCTCTCAGCCAGCCGTCAATCAAATGCGCCCACTCGGCCTCGACCACAAAATGAAACCGCAACTCCCTTGAGGATGAATTATGCAAAGGTCGGTTGAAGTTAAAATTATTTCAGATTTAGTCGTTTGTTTGTCTATTGATTTATTTTTAGGTTCAAATCCCATCTCCTCCTCCAAATTGTATCAGTCCTGATGACGATTTTGATAGACCGACTCCTTTGCCACGTTTCCCGGTGACACCTGTTTACTCAAGGATTAAACCAAGGTCTGTTATTATTTTTTGAGATTTGTATTCAAGTACTTTAGTGGTTTGAGTCGTTTAACTCCGGCGGCATCCAGTGTTCATCTACAACCCTTCAAACTCAACAACGAAGAAAATAATCGGTGAGTTCAAGTTTTTTTAGCTTTAGTCTGTTTTCTTCTAGGTTGACACCTTCAAAATCTATCGCATGCTTACAAGCACCTACTGCTTCTACAAACTCTTTCAATTCGGCTAAGAGGTTTGTATTGCAAGCAGCTTTAGCATAACAACTTGAGCACAGGTTGACGCCCTCAAAATCGACCATTCAACTGCCCATGACCAAACTCAATCCGGTGCTAAATCAAGTGCTTCCAAATGTCCCACCAAGTCCATCAAAGAGAGGTTGATTTTGGTTATCTTTTATCACTTATTATTTCCGATTTAGCTCCACCATCTCCAAGAAAGTTTCCCAAAACTTCATCGTTGCTAGGCTAATTAAATTTTCGGGTTTTTGTTGTAAACTCCTTGATCTCTGCCCATAATTGATCCATGTTCACTTGTTGTTGTTTTTCACTGTTTTCTATGTATTTTTAAAAATAGCTTTATTCCATACCCGTTGCTTTTTGTTCTTGTTGTACTTATGTATAGCAAACTCGAGAAATAAATAAGTTAAAGCGGGAACAATTGAAAAAGAATGCAAAAACCCGAAAAGGAGATGGTAAAGAATGGGATCAAGTCCTTCATTTCTTCTTTTTCTTCTCCATTGTAGAAGTCTGAAAAACTTTAGTTTTGTAATTATGGGCTTTGTTAGTGTAACAAGTGCTAGGGCACTTTAATTTCTCCGCAACTCACCGTGCCCAACGCTATCCTCTTTTTGTCATCTTCAGTCACTCCCTCAAACGGGTCTGGTCCTCCACCAACTAAGCGATTTCGCAGCAGCTTTTGCTTCATGAACTAAAAGGTTTTATTAAAATTGAGACTCAAGAATTATTTTCTAATCAGTTCACCTGTTGTAGCAGGACCCGTCTGACACGCTGTTTCACCTGAAAGATGGATTAATTGAAGTGGGAGACTTACAACAAATACATCAAAAGATAAACATCCAACTTACACAGACAATCACATCGAGCCATGTCCAATTTCTCTCGTGGTACTCACAAAGAGGAAAAACGAAATGGAAGCGATCGACATCGAGAAGATTTTTCTCCTTTTTACCCTGCAAATTTGTGGCCTTTGTATTGCTTAATCAATTGGTTACCTTGTACGAGACGACAAATGGCACTTCTGGGATTTTGATGTAAACGAAGAGATTATTTTTATCAGCTCTTTCTCTCATTCGATCAATGTCATCGAAACGTTCGAAGTTTCTGCAAATTCAGTAAATTGATTGCAAGGTTAGAGCTTTAAATGGAAAGTTCTGTTCTAAAAGTGTTCTGTTCAAACTTCTATCTTGGGAACTAAGGATCGCGGTATTCGCCAAAAGGAAACGACTGCAGGCGGGGTCAAACCCCACTTACGCGGATTGAGAGACAGACGCTCTGGCAATCCACCACGAGGAGACATTGAGGCTACTTTTCCACGCCCTTTCCTCTCAAGGGGTTTTCTGTGCTATCCTCTATTGTGAACCCTAGGAGGCTCGACTACTCGGCTCGACTACTCGGCTCGACTACACTTCTATTGTTCGCAACGTTTTGTTACCTGCTTGCAGTTGGTCTCGTCGAGAGAGTGCTCTGTTTTCTGTCAAATTGAGCTCCCGTCTTTGATGATCGAATATTGACCAATCGACGCGTTAACGACATTTTCTGAAGAGAAGTTTCGAATATTTTGTACGTATCGAGTATAATTTAACATTGATCACTTAACGAAAGTAAAAGTTTTCCCCCAAATTTGTGAACCTGATTTCCCTCTTCTTGACTCGTATCAATCTCTTCTTGATTATGAATGTTTTGGCCCGGGAAGAAGAACGACATGATCGCGTCGAAGAAACGATATGTGATTTGAGCGACCATTGGGGAGATGTTCACCTCGAAATGCTCTTTCACACAGATTCCCGCAACTGGAAAGGGGTTGATGTTACTTTTAAGAAGTTGTATAGCTGTATAGCTGGATAGCTGTATAGCTGCATAACTGTATAACTGTCACTCACCGGGTGGCATATCACGTAAAAGGATTCGAATGGCCGGCTGTAGATGGGTGACTCGTTCATCTTGGTGAAGAGTGTCCTGGAAATTGCACAATATTTTTATAGCTTTTTTAAAAACATCAAATATGTACCTTGTAGATTGTGTCGGATTTGTCGCGTAGAAGATTGGTGACTCGGATTGTGCCGACCTCGAATAAATGCTCACCACTGTTGTCAATGCGAATCACTCGAGTGTATCTGAATGATGGGAATTGGGTAGATGGAAAAGACATTCATATTTCTTACAAGAAATTTCTGATCTGCAAAGCGGCCACCCCGATTTGCCCATCGCTTTCCGTCAACTTCCAAATGCAATCCTCGAAACACACCTAAAACTTTAAGAACTTATAAACTCAAATCTTGATTTGAATAGAAAAATCTTACAAGGGCACGTAAACGCGAGGAATCTAGCATACAAAATGATGTAAAATGATGTAAAATGATGTAAAATGATGCATAAAACATTTAACATTTAATGCAAATGAGTAAAAAAAGAATTTTCCAAAAAAAGCAAGAAAATTGGCTAGGGGAGGACTCGAACCCAAGCCAAGAAAGCTTCATAGGTTCCCTAGACTAGCACACCAACCACCAGACCACAGAAGCCGTTGAGAGGTTCCCTTGTGGCAGCCAGATAAAGAGTCCAAAATTTGATTGAAGTCTCAGCTCGAAGTTGAGAATCGATTCGATTCGCTCAAATTTATCCGGCCGCTACAAGGAAGCCTCCAACGGCTTCTGTGGTCTAGGGGATAGTGTGCTAGTCTGCGGGCCTCCCTGGGTCCTTTAGCTAGGGTTCGAATCCTCCTCTAGCCAATTTTCTCGGTTTTTTGGAAAAATCTTTTTTTACCCATTTGCATTAAATATTTATGTTTTATGCATAATTTTACAGCATTTTCTATGCCAGATTCCACGCGTTTGCATCCAAATCGGCAGCTAATTTTTGCAGATTCGGAATCAGTATTTTCTATAAGATCCGATCTCGAATCGATTCTCAACTTCGAGCTGAGACCATTCCCTGTTAGTTATTTCAAATTCACAATGCTTTTACCTCAAATCTCCTAGCCACTGGTGCTTGTTGATCAGCCTCAACTCTCGCCGAAACAGCCGCCGCTCTCAACTGTTCCACTTGACGCTGTTTGTAGCAACTGAAATGAGGAATCTCTTCAATTTCAAACGTGAATATTTCTTTACCTGATAAAGATAGCCAATTGATCAGAAACCTCCAATTGTTGAGCTTTGAAATCTTCCATTTCAGCAGCTAGATCCTGCAATTTTATTTCCTTGAACTCATCCATCCATCTCCTCTTTTCTTTACCCTTCTTTTACTCGCTTCTTTGTCTCTTTCATTTTCCGATAACGTATCAATATAATAGATTTGTCGTTCCAATGATCGAACCATTGTCACAATTTCGCGAAGTTCTGTCTAAAATTGGGAATGATTAAAGCTTTAGTTGTTTTTTCTAGCTTCAATAAAGCTATTTCCCTAATTTCTCTACCTGTTGTTCAACGATACTTTCCCTCATTTGTTGCATATTCATCATTTGACATTCAAATCTAAAGCCAAATCTCATCGAATTCACATCATTCATCTCTTTACCGTAATCTTCGTCGATGTTCAGCCACTTCTTTCTTTTTTGGATCAATGAAAAGAACGAGATTGTTGATGATATCAACAACCATTTCATATTGAGCCGAATTACTGCTTGACTAAAGAAAGATCTTTCTTTTGATCAATTCAGATAATTCGAACCTCTAACATATTGTGCTTAACGGTGAGACAATCGACCATTTGATCGTCATCCAATGTGTGAACCTCGGGATTCATCTAGGGTTACAATATTGTGGACAAAAGTAATCACAAACCGGTGGCAAAGCCGTTTCCTCTAAAGCGTCAGTCTTGAGATTCTCGCTGAAGTAACAAAAATAGATCTCACACGAACAACGAGAGACAATTCGTTGAAGAGAAACCGATGGAGTTGGAGTGAAAGTCGATGAAGATTCCACTAAATTCTTTTCAATGCAAAAACTTTGGCAGAAATAAGCCAAGCTTTATCAGCTTTATCAGCTTTATCAGCTTTTTCAGCTTTTTCAGCTTTTTCAGCTTTATCAGCTTTATCAGCTTTATCAGCTTTATCAGCTTTTTCAGCTTATCAGCTTTATCTTGACAATATTTAACTCGAAACTCGAGTGTGTTCCTGAATAAATTAAAATTAGCATTACTCTAAACCAACCACTTGTCGCATTTCCTTGCACAATTCCACCCACAGCCTCTCCAGTCGCAATGTAATTTGATAGAGTGTCCATTGAGATATCCCGGGCTTTCTCTTCTATCACCTAAAGGTTTTTACAGTAAAATTAATAACATTATCTAATACTTGTCTAGTGCATAGCTAACTATTTTCTATTTTCCATTCCAATCCTTTTTAGACTTCAAAAATAGCCTACCTCTCTGCCCAACCACCGGAAACGCTCCTTGTTTGCGCCCTCGCTGATCGAAACCGGGGCAAAATACTGGAAATTTGATTTCGAATAAATTTAGGAAAGATTTAGGAAAGATTTAGGATAGATTTAGGATAGATTTAGATATAGAATTTATAGATTTTGAGAAAATCTATCTTATATCACGTCATATTTCATCACTCACCTGCATCCCGGACAATACAGCGCTCCACGACTTTTTCCCCAAGAGTTGCGAGTTTTTCCAGACACCGCTAAAGTAGATTTTGGATATTCAAGGGAAAGGCGCCGAGTCAAGCTGGTCTTTTGACTTGAGGCCAAATTCATCTTATAGAGTCATGAGGATCGATAATCCGTTTTTAGTTTTTGCGGAACGCGAGATATCTAAATTTCGGACTCGTTAAGAAATCGTCACACGCTAGCTTAACAACTGCTTCAGTTGTCTAGTGGATAGTCTGCTAAAATGCCGAATCTACTACATTTTTTGCAAGTTTGGCGAGAGTGGAACTCGAACTTGGGGGCAAAAATGTAACAGGTTCGGCAGATCAGCCAGTTCTAGCAGACTATCCACTAGAAGACCGAAGCAGTTGTTGATGGAGCGTGTGGTGGCTTCTTAAGGAGCCCGAAATTCGGAAATCTCGCGTTCAGCAAAGCTAAAAACAAACTCAAGACGGATTCTATAAGATGTCTCAAGTCAAAAGCCCAGCTTGACTCGGTGCCTTTCCCTTGTAAGTATTAGCTTATATATCATGGGCATAGAGTATTATTTATTTATATTTATTTATTCTGTATTCTCGTATTCTGTATTTATTCAATAGCTAAAGCTAACCGATGAATCTTCTGAGTGAGCGATGTGCGCGCAGCGGTCACCAAGAGAAAACCGTCTTTCTCACAACCTTTCAACACCAATTGACTATTCAAAAGATCCACTAAATAGATATGATATTCATAGATATGTTACGTTACGCCCGTTATTGAATTTCATCCGATTCAGAACCAGAAATGCGTTATCGATAACGATAACAAACCTTATTGATCAATAACAAACGAAATTCAATAATGAACGTAACAAAAACAAACAAAATCCCAATAACGAACGAACGCACGTATATTCATTGATAATTTTTAAGAAACCTTGCCAATTGAGCATCACCACATCATCAGCGGTACATTGTAGAACGCCGAGCAGAGAATCAGTCGGCAATTCGGTCGCCTGAATAGATTTTATGGATTTTATAGCTTTCCGGAAAGCCGATTGAATTCTCCAAGAATTCCCCCAGTATTAACTCTACGGAGAATTCCTCACCTGTTCACAATGAGCGACAAGTTTCGTGCTTGCCTCATCGATTAGTTGATCGAGGAGACTGTTTGCTTGATCGGATGAGCTTCGATTTCTGTAATTGAAAACATCATCCAAAGATCTTTCTTCTTCTATTCACCTATTCATTTCATCATCGTCATCAATCCGATCTCTTGTTATAATCTGTTCAGGTCGTCTTTGCGCCTCCTCGGTTTTTAGCTGAATAACAATAGTCTTTTTAAAGGTTATTGTACTTTTTAAAGCAAACCTTTAATGTCTTGATAGCATCATTTGATAGAATGCTTCTCAATAAATGAGCTCGATGAACACCGTCAGCGATCACCAAACAAGCATCACGATTTGTTGATGTCCATGAAGCCTAATTGAAAAATTGAGATTAATATTAGCATTAACTGAAGCCGAATAAGAGCTAAATAAGCTGAACTCTAGCTAAACAAGAGACCAGCCTTTACAGTATCTTTGTCTACAGTATTCCTTTAATAACATAGCTTTGCCTAGACGTAAACGATAGACAAAAGTACTGTAAGAGTGCCTTGTATTTGACAGTGACTTTGAGATTCCAAAAATCTTCTATGATACAAGTCAATTCCTCAATCCTATCATTCCCACCTTCAAATCGGTGCATATCAATCGATGCAATGCTGTCTCTTTCGTTCCACCTTCTTCTCTTATATACTGTAATTGCTCTAAACTCATCAACAATGTCTCCGCCGATTCCCACGTGTCACCCATTGGACCACCAGCGTTTGGACCGAATACATGAACCTGAAAAGAGTTATTTTCTAAATAGCTGTAATTTGTTTTCAACAACTAAGAATTAGGCTGGCATTTCGGCTAAAAAAAAACTAACCTGAGTTTTCCCGATAGCCGCAGTCACTTGTTGTTGACTCCATTGAAATGAGCGACGACGTCGGAGATTCTAAAACGAAAAGTTAAAGGTTTGCTTTTGAAATTGGTACATTTTGATCGAGAGGAGTGGCGGAAAGACGAAGAAATGCAGACAAGACAAGGCCATCAGAACTCACTCTGAACAAAGCGGTAGATTTGAGAACAAATTTGAACTCTGAATTATTAGGTTGAGAAAAAAAAATAATGCGCGTTCTTTGGGGTAACAATTCATTACCTTCTACAAGAAATTTCAATTATCAATCAGTAAGATATTCTCGATTTTTATCGATTACTTCTTTCCATCTTCTTTCTTGATTCCATTTGTGAAAAACTTGGGAATTTTTCAAGCCAAAATAGTTGTCGACCGCTTTTTTTGACTTGAGCTTTAAAGTAGCTTTAAAGTAGCTTTAAAGTAGCTTTAAAGGAGCTTTAAAGGAGCTTGAAAGGAGTTTTAAATGAGCTTCAAAGGAGCTTGAAAGGAACTAAATAGGAACTATAAAGGAACTATAAAGGAGCTTCAAAGGAGAGCATGATCATCAAACTTGTCTCCCATAATTCACTGTTTCAGGAATTGAAACAAAAAGTAACAAACAATCTGACGGGACTAATTCAGAAGGAGTAAAGCGAATGAAGAAGCAACTTCCATCCCAGCTCGTCAATTTTTTTCGTGAGTGACTTTTGCAATCGTGAGGCTTCGTGTTTTCGTGCAAAAATCGAATCTTTGATGGATTGAACCCAAATTTCTTTAAAGTATCGTTGACTAGCATTCAATTGTTTTTATCAGTAGCTTTCTCCTGGATTAGCTAACTCATAGCTAAACATTTTGAGTTCTACCAGCTGTTGCTCTACCAGCTCTACCAGTTCTACCAGCTGTTCTACCAGCAACAGAGCATTATTTTCTTTCCATAAATATCAGATTTGGAAGGGGTTTTTTTTCCGATAGATAGCCATTGGTTCTTCCTTTTGAAATTCTCTTAATTAGTCCAAGTTTCATCAGATATCAAAATCGAATTCCAAAAAACCACCAGCCTTTATGGAGCAAAAAAAGAATTGATGTTGACACGAGTTGTTTTTTTGTCTTGAGTCAGTTCATGCGTCACCCATTTCCCACAGCAATCCACAGCAATCCACAGCAATCTTTTTTTTCCACGAGTCGATGCAAATCAGGCTTACAGGCGGGGAAAAAAAGCGGAAAATAGAATATCTTTTAATTTCGAAGATTTTCAAATGGAGCGGCTACGCATTGCAAAAGCGAAAAAGCAAAAAAAATTGCGGAAAAACTTTTCTCACGCAGTGCGTAGCTGCCCCATTCGTTGGGTTTTCCTTTGAAAATCAAAAGATATTAACCTTTCCGCTTACAAATTGTACAAATGGTTATCGATTGTCTTCTGATCAACATCAAACATTTTTACAAGTTCGTTAGTGCTCCCACAAACTTCAAAACGCGCATTATTTTTTCCTCAACTTAATACTCAAGTATAACCTGAAGCCATAATCCGATGAATGGGACATCCAATAAGTGATATGGAAATACGGGAAGTTAACCATGAATTTCACATCACTAAATAAAAATATTGAATGATTCGAGAATAACAAGATCAATCACCGGAAATGTTTGCTGAGTTGGGGTTTCGAGCGGGTGGGCGAGCCGAAGAGTGCTCCTTTCTTCACGGGACGATTCGTTAATGTGAGAGTGTTCTGTAAGCGGTCAATTGGATAAAATTGTGATAATAGTAGTTTGCCAAAAGATTCGCGTTTCTGAGAACACAAAGCACAAAGGTCAAAGTACTGACCAACAAAAACTCCAATGATCGAAATGTGTTTGCGTAGAGGAGAACGTGAGGCCATTTTGAGCGCTGAGATTCTTTTGGGTCTAGAATTTTGATGGTTTACTCCTCTTATAATTGGTATATTGTAAGATTTAAGATATGCAAATGATCAATTATCAGCCTCATATTTACCTCCATGCACATCAGCCGATTCGACATCGAAATAGATGGCCAAATCGAGACATTTCGATCGAAAAGCTCGATAAGAATCGTGTTCCTAAATATTTGATTGATAAGTTTCTCGTAAAATGATAATTTGTTAGCAAGAAGCTTATCTCACCGTTGCACAATGTGGTAAACGACTCGGAGAACAAGGGGTAGCCGAATGATGATCATGGGGATCACCCAGACAAACCCAATCAAGAGTCACACGCAGTTTTAACTGAAATTTGAAATCAAAACGATTACGGTAGATCTAAAAGCTCACTTGTGGCAAGAAGAGTATCCTCGAATCATCATATTTCGATGCCGTTCTCACATAAACACTTAATCCAGACCGTATCCTTATCTCTCCAATTAACCAATCCAATCCAAAATCCTCCCAACACCATTCAACGGTTTCCGTCGAGTTGTATGGATCTGGTGAAGCCAGCATGATCGTTCGGACCTAGGATTTGAGAGTTACTTTGTCCTAGCTTTGAGAGTTACTTTGTCCTCATCTACTGTAACTCGATCTACTGTAACCCGATCTATCGTAGCCCGATCTTTCGTAGCCCGATCTTTCGTAGTCCCGACTTTGACCTTATTAATATCTCTCAAAACCTGCACTCACCTCTTTACACAGCATACTGAACCTTCCATGCAGCAAGTAACGCATTTTATCCCAAAACGGGAGAACGAGTGATGGATCGACGGATGGGGAAGAGATATTATTCCATGTAAGGGAAACCATTGATAGACATGGTTCCCAACACGGTCCATACCATGAATCGACACGCGTTGCCTCACATTGCATATCATAGTAGAATTTGAGAGGAGCGATATTTCGTTGAACAGTGTGTGTTTCCCATGGATCAGGCAAGGGAATCGCGACATCGCGAAGGGAACGAGCTGAATGAATTGTCATTGTAACAGTCTAAAACAAAAACCAACCTTCTAGCTGTTCAGCGCCGACAAGTGTCCCGAAAAAGTGCATATCGGTGGCCTAAAGTTGTTTCTTGTTTCTCCGAGTAACCAAGCTACCACCGCGCAACCAACCAAGCTACCGTATCCCCGTCACTTACCTGAAAGTACGGTATGGGATAATCTCTAAAATGAGCACTCCACGATTCCACATCAAATTCACATCCTCTTGCCCATAATGTCGAAAAAGCCATATCAATTGGATAATGGCTAACCGAATCGAATTCTTGAATGAATGACACACATTTTTGTGTTCCGTGAAGAGAAATATCAGCAAAGGCTTTGATCTGAAAAGAATAGTAGAGTTGAAAAAAAAGAAAATCAATTAATACCTGTAAATCTTTCCAAATCGACACAAACAATGGTCGTTTTTCGGGCGGTTGTTTCCTCCATCTTTCAATGTAAATAGCACTATTCTTCTCTAATAATGACGCAAAAAGTTCATCGATTTTTGTCTGTGGTAGCAATGGATTCGCTTTTTTGACATTCGCTAATCTTTCAGCTAACATTTGTCTTCGTCTTTCACATTCAAACACCTCATCCTCCAATAGTTCATTATTTGCTTGTAAACTTGTCTCAAATGGATCATCTTCTAGCTCAAGACGAGTCTCTTTGATCACAATTTTCACATCAGCTGGCAGAGGGGAATCTTTTGTGAAAGATTTCGTTTTGATCTCGTGAACAACTTTAAGCCATTTGAAGGAGTTGATAAACTGAAAATAGGAAAATAAGAAAATAAGAAAATAGAAAAATGTAAGTTTCTTTAGGGTAACTCTAGATCCTTTACAATACTCAAAAGGTTTAGCAGGCTTAGAGATATGCTATAGTACTAAATTGTAAGGCTTTACAGGTTTCCTATCAATACATTACTCATTCGAACCCAGAAACTAACCTCGGAAAACACTTGAGCAAAGTTGAACTCAAATGGAAGTGTGAAATGGAAAAGATCGGCAGCCCAAGTCCAAACTTTGTTCGAATCGAGTAAAAGATCGCCGAAAGCTTTTCTTGATTGAATCATTTGTGTATCTCGTTGTTTCATATCAATTGAAACATTTGTTACAAGAAGTACACGATATCCATTACACGTGATTGTTAATTCGGGTGATGTAACGATGAAACCGTTTTGATCCTTTTCGAAATGAATCGATGGAACACGCCAGATCATCCTGCAAAAGGGTGGGGGGTTTGGAAAGAGATTCTCTCTGAAATAACCTGTGATATCTGGCCATCGCAATATCGAGACTGAACGGGAATTTCGTAGAAATCTTCAATTGGAGGGGGATTTTCGGTGCAGATGATTGAGATTCATTTGACGGATTTGGAGAAATGAGACAACTGAATATTTTTTATAGATAATTTAATAGTATTTATTAGGTTGTCCAAAAAGTCTTTTCGTTCCTTTTCATAATTCCGTTTTAAAATAACAAATTCACCAATTAACCTATGCTTTGCTCTCACTAAAAAGTGTTTATTATTCAATTTCAATGTATATTATTCAATTTCCCATCTTTTTAAGTCAATTTGGGTTAACTTTCAAGCAAATTCGAGGGGGAAAACTCTACAAATTCGAGTTTTTCGTAAAAATCTATAAAAACCTCTAAAGAAATTGGCTCTGAAATTCTCTGAAAATTTGGCTATATACCTAACTTTTTGTGCTCTATCTTTTACTTATTGATATCAAGATAGGTTTCCTTAGCTAAAGTGTCTAAATCACATTATCAAGCCGTCGCCCTTCTTGACTATCCGACTTCAAGCTCCCAAAAAAAACCAGACTTATGTCTGGTTTTTTTTAACTTAACTAGACTTTAACTAGACTTTTAAACCCGTTTTCATATTATTATTTCATATTATATTATTTTGCAGAAAAATAATTGGCCTTTCTAATGAAACAAACCGTAGTTCAATCGGTTCATTTGTTGGTTTTAAACGGAAGTACGAAAAGGAACGAAAAGATTTTCTGGAGAGCCTAATATTAGGTTTGCCGTTAAGTCTTTAGACACTCCTTTTCTAGGAGCGTTTATAAATGACAAATTCATCAATTGACCTACAATTGGCTCTAAATAGAAAATGTTTATTATGCATTCTTCTATCTTTTTAAGACAATTTAGGTCCTTTTCCAAGCAAATTCGAGTTCAAAAACTCATTTTTCGTAAAATTCGATAAAAAGCTCTACAAAGAAATCGGCTGAATAGATTATCCTGAAAATTCGACTATATACCTAACTTTTTGCGCTCTATCTTTTATATTTGGACAGAAACATAGGTTTCTGTGGAGAAAAACGCCTAAATTGCGTCTTTAAATTGTCACCTTTTTTGACTACTCAACTTCGCGCCCCCATAAAAAAACTAGAGACAAAAAATTTAAATTCCTAAGAATCGAACGTTATCTTGTAGACAAATAGATTTTCTGGCTTTTCTGATGAAGCCAATCGTAGGTCAACTGATGAATTTTTCATTTATAAACGTTAGTAGAAAAAAAGGTTTCTAAAGACTTATCGGCCAACCTAATAGAATAGCGTAAACTAACCTCTTGGTGACTCGGAATATGTGTAGAAAGACACGATGTAAAAGGGAACTCCACGACAGATACGCTTCTCCATTACCCGATATTAGCATTTCTCTCACTGAATCCGTTGAGGCCATTGATAGGAAGATTGTATCACAAAGACCAAACTAAAGAAAAGAAATGAAATGTAAGACTTGAGATTCAGCGATCTCACCATTTCCACTCCTCTTTTCCCATAAACTTCTTCAGCATGTCTTCTCCTCGTCGATCGAAAATCGTCTTTCTTTGCCTGGCTCCATAGCCTAAAAATTTGGTTTTTAAATCGAATACCAACTACCAACTATACGATAAATTTTATTATATCTAATCTGTTTTTCATTTTCTCTTCTCCCACCTCCAAAGCGCTGTCGTTTCCTCATCTTTTCTCGGCACGAATTTCCCAGCCGTTCTCAGCACTTCCAAATTGAAAGCACTCTCTGTGGTGGTTTGTCCAATCTGAAAAAAGAATCCAATTTTTAAAAACCACTTCATCAAATCCACCCCCAAACGAGCGTTTCGTAACGAGACGGCGAAATCGTTTCCCAATTTTTGGCTCTCAAACGCGACTTCATCCGAAATTACCGCCACAAATGTGCACTCTTTGGCTAGAGCCAAAATGGCTCCTCTGAAATGGATATTTTAAAATTGTAGCCAGACAAGGAAAGATCCACATTTTCAAATTGCAACTTGAAACTTGCGATCTTTGCTTTGAAGTAAAAATATTTCAAATCTGTGAAATTCTTGCAAAAATTCAACTTTCTATTTGACAATTTAGGAATTTTCATGTAGAAATTTTCTTCATACAAAAATAAAGAAAATAAAATCGTGCATATAAAAAATCGGCATATTTTCTCGAGATTTTTGAGTATTAGGTTGGCAAAGAAGTCTTTTCGCGACTTTTCAGAATCTCTAAACTAAAATAAATAAATATCAAAGTGCTCTTTTATGACTTTTTTCTAATAAAAAACATAATCATTAAAAAAATCATAAATCTACAGTAAGTCATAAAAATTCAAGTAAAATTTTGAAGAAATACATGGTGTTTTGATAAATTCCAAGTCAAAAGAACCAGAACTCGGAAAACATAAAATTTGACTCGGTACTGAAGCTCAATCATTTCTTCCATCAAAAACTTGCCAAAATAAAAAGTTGTGCCGCTGTTTTTAGTTTAAGATATGATCTTTAATTTTAACCATATAAAAGTTTGGTAGCTGCTTTGGTTGAAAAATTTGGGTGAACCGAAAAGACTTTCTTGCCAACCTAATCTATAAGGTATTTTAACCATATATAAAAGCTATAAAAACCATATAAAAGAACGCATGTGTTGAATCCAAATTTGATAACAGTTTTTAGAAATAATTCCAAATTCTATCGTTTTTAGCATTTTTATGTGTTGCAAGTCAGGAGGTCTGCAAAAAGAGCTAGATCTAGCAAAATCTTGTCAGTTGACTTGCAAATTGAAAAATGCTAGATTTCAAGTGTGGATCCAACTAGCTCCCAATCTAGCAATTTGCAAAATTTTGCTAGATCTAGCAAAGTGTGAGCCCGGGCCCTGGTCTCTTCTGTCAGCTAGGCTTTTCCAACTTCAAGTCACAATTTGAATTCTGTCTTTGTCAAACCTCTTCAATCGTGCCTTTATCGATATCCTCTTTGCCGGTATCTCTTTCACTTTCTCTTCCCTATCACTACTTGATCGGAGACTATTCAGAACTTTTTCTATCTAAACCCATTGTATAAAATCTCAAGTTTTTCGAATTTATAACCTGATGAGCAAAACGATCACTCCACTCAAACTTGCAATCATCGATAGCCAAAAGGGCGTTTGTTTGAGATGGGTTTTGGGAAATCTGAAATATAGAAGTAAGTTCAGTCATCATTAAGTGTCAGTGCTAAGGTTCAAGATTTTGTCTATTTTAAGTGTGAATATAATTTTTACGGTTAAACCATACTTGTAATAGAGCCACTCCAATGTAGAGTGTTTGTCCCCAATGATGAACATCGAATGATGGAGTCGGTAAAGGATTTTGAGAGTTCTGAACAAGCTATCAAAGATATTCTCACAATGAGAAAGAAATTCGACTTTTGAACCAAAAAATAAAAACCTAACCTGATTCGTTGATAGATGATTTGAGGAAACGATCAATGAATCGACGCCCACTTCAATATTTGATCCAGACTGGAATCGGTACTTTCGAAGCTTCCAAAACACACTTACCTTTGAAAAGCTAAAGAAGCTAATGGAAAGCTTTGATTGTATTGCATCCATATCAGTGACATCACAAGCAAGAGATTCCACTTCAAAAGAAATGGCGATTGAGGGGAATTCGGATTTTGGGGAAAAGTGATCGGATGAGCTTGATTGACCATCAGTTGTCGGAGATCTAGAATGGGCGATGTTAAAAGGGAAATCTCAGACTACAGTATGCCAAGGCAGTAAATACCTATTGCCTTGCCGATTCGCGAGCACAGAAATCAAATGAGATCTCCACCAGAGAACATCGGAGATCTTCAATGCTGTGTGCACACTATCCGATGTGATTTTTGCCTCCAAAAGGCTCTCGTTTCCCTAAAAATTATAATTTCCTATTTTCAATGAATCAATCACTAACCTTTGCATTAGCGTGCAGGAAAGCTGTTCTCAATGTTGATCTTGTTGTCAAATCTCCCAATTTCAGTTCTTCAACTTTTCCCTCTGCCCATCCACCAGATCGTTTCATTCCGATTTCACGAATCGATAATTGGAGAACTCTGAAATGTTTCAAATATGAAGGATGTTAAAAAAAAAACCTCAGATATACTGTTTTTCTCTCAAAGTAGCTCTTTTTAAAGAAAACGTTGTCTGTTATCGTATTCATTTTCTATTGGAAGCGCAACCTCCAATAGAAACAATTTTGTGGAATGATTGAAAAAGCTAAGCGCATGCGCCTCTATTAGAATAAAAATTAGAAGAAGTATCCCTTTAAATTCTCACCTTTCTTCTTGTCCCCAAGCCACATATCGAAAAGTACTGTTATTAATGATAAATGACATTTCTGATAGCTGATTCGACAGCGCTATCCATCTGAAATGATAACTCTTGTACCATTTTCAAAATATCAAACACTATTTACCGTTTCTTTTTCGGTTTCTCATCGATTTGTGGTTGCTCTTCGGCTTCCAAGTGCTCGCTTTCAGAACTTTTCGTTAGCTCGAAGATTCCTAAGTTGGAAAATTGGCAAATCACAGTAATTCAACTAGTTTTATATGTTAAAATCCCAATTTTATTACCTTGACTTATCGAAATGATCGGATCTTTGATATCGAGAGATAAGCGACTCAATAAACCGTCAAGAATGTCGAGAGAAGCTTTCATCTGAATATTCATTTGACAGGTTTATAAGCTGCCAGCCGAAAAAACCCGCCCAACAGCGGGTTTTTCTGGCTGCATGTTTTGGAGCCGTGGGGCAGTCAGGAGCGCGCTTGTTTAAGGCCCACACGGCCCGGGTTCGACCCCCCGTAGTGTCTCCCAATTTTGAATTTTTTATTTTAAATGGCACAACTAAATTATATTTTGACTTTTTCAAAAATCCTGTTTTTTTGGTCCAAAGGCGGCTGAGAAAAAGTCCGTGTAAACGGACAGACACTGCTATTTAATATATAGTAGATCTTACCTGCAATCCAAATTCAATCAATGGTGGTGATGGTTGGGCACTTTTCCTTCTCAATGCTTTCCCTTGTGCTAAACGGCATCCAGCCTCGATTTGCCAACTTAAAGAATTCGTTTGATCGACAAGTATTTCGGTATTTTATTAGGTTGGTAAATAAGTCTTTTTATACTTTTTCATACTTCCTTTGAAAAATAACAAATTCACCAAATAACCTATGATTTTCTCTAAATAAAAAGTGTTTATTGTTCAATTTCCCATCTTTTTAAGTCAATTTCGGTTCGCTTACAAGCAAATCCGAGAGTGAAAAGTGCTTTTTGCGAAAATCTGCGAAAAACCTCTATAAAGAAATTGGCTCTGAAATTCTCTGAAAATTTGGCTATATACCTAACTTTTTGTGCTCTATCTTTTACTTATTGATATCAAGATAGGTTTCCTTAGCTAAAGTGTCTAAATCACATTATCAAGCTGTCGCCCTTCTTGATTATTCGACTTCAAGCTCCCAAAAAAAAACCAGACGTAAGACTTTTAAATCCGTTAATGTTATTTTGCAGAAAAATAATTGACCTTCCTAATGGAAAAAAACCGTAGTTCAATTGATTCATTTGTTGGTTTTAAACGGAAGTATGAAAAGAAAAAGTCTTATTCACCAAACTAATAGTAAGTACAGGATAATATTTCAATTTCTCACCCATCTCGACTCCTAAATGTCTCCAGCGATAGCTCATCCACAGTACAATGTATCATACACTCGGGCAACCATTCCAATACAACAACATGTACTCGATTCAGATGAATGCCGATATACTGAAATTTGATTTCCCTTTTCATGATAACAAAAGAGAAAGAAGAAAAAGGAGTATTTCAGCACATCAGACACTGAATGTTTACTATCAAGAAAGTTTTCACTAACGAATCAGTTAGTAATCATTTAACCTCACCCAATACCTTTTTACTCACCAATCCTTTTCTAAATAATTAGACACCAAACCAAAGCAGAAAAACCCCAAGAAGATCGCACCGATTTGATTTGGTAGATTTTGTGCGTTTTAGTTGAAAGAGAAATGGTTAAGCTAAGTTTACGCAGCAGGTAAAAAGATTCGAAGACAATGGAGTAGAAGGGAGCCTAGAGAAACGAAACAAAGTCATTTTAGAAATTTAAACAAGAAACATGGGCGGAAGAATATAACGGGAAGGGAATGTGGGGAGACAGGCAACCTTAAACCTTAAAACGCGCGACAAAAAGGAGGATAGATTTTACAGAAGGGGAAGAAAACGTACGCGGGACATAAAAAAACTATATTAGCATAAAAAACTCGACAACATCCACCACTCCATAAGGGAAATCGAGGAAAAATTAAAAGAATGGCAAAAGGGAAATTTTGTGTGGGGTACGGTAGCGCATCCACGCTTTAGAAAGTGCGCCGCGCCTTTTTTGCGCGTCAATTTAACGGAATCTAACGAATCATTAGCCAAGTTCGACAACAATCAAACACCTGTTTACCTGTGCAAAAAGCAGAGCAATTCTCGACACTCTTCCCGTTGTTGTTTTGCGTGAATTTGCTTGATTGCTTGAATTTGCTTGATCTTTTTTGATCTCTTTTTTATCGGTCTCAATCCGCACATCGCCTAGCTCCAATTCGATCGGTTTACTAGAAAAATAATGGAATTGTTCACTTGTTTAGAATATTTCTTTCTAATCTATCTGAATCTGAAATCTATATTTGTTTCTAATCTATCTGAATCTATATTTGTTTCTAATCTATCTGAATACCTGAATCGGTTTGGGAAAAATCGTATCCTCAGCGAATCCACGTGAAAAGTGACACCACTTTTTAGGCGAACACGCACATCAAACACGCCAAATCGACTGTAAATCGAGAAATCTCGTTTTAAAATCTTTTAGTCTTTAAAGTCGACACATTCATCTTTTATTTCTTTAGAAATCTCACCAAAATCCGCCAACATTTATTTGAAAACCAAAAACGATCGAGAGAACACGGGAAATCAACCAAGCGCTGTATCTGAAAATTGAATTGAATTATTAGATTTGAATATTAAGCTGATGAACTTGCGAAATCATTTATTTCATTAGTTTCATTTATTTCATTTAGTTTGATCATTTCATTTAATTATCTATTTTTTCAGAACAAACCTCAAAATCGTGTACACCAATAAAACGAGTAAAGTGATGAAAATTGTGAAGAGCATTTGTGAAGAGCTTGTGAGAGATGTGAGAGATGTGATAGAATGTCACCGGTGTCTCATTTTGAATGCGAAAACAAATAAATCTAAAGGGTTTTTTTTTGATTTGAACGATATTGAATGAAAAAAGTAGAAAAATGACAAACAGCTGATAAATTTGAGCATTGGTTCCTAGAGAGGAACACGGGACTCCAAAGTACACCTCCCTTTCGACCTCATTCCTTTCTTTGGCATATTCGAGCAAAGAAAAGGCTTTGACCAGGCTTTGACCATGATGATTAAAATTTAAATCGACGATTAATTCATTTAAATTTTAATCATCCGACTTTAATCGATTAATTAATTGGTTGCGGGGAGAACACACTCTGGCAACTACAGTACCCTACTACTTCGATGGTTTAGTGGATAGTTTGCTAGACTGCCTAGTCTGCTAGACTGCTAGACTGCATTTTTTGCCCTCAAGTTCAAGTCCCACTCTCGCCAAACTTTTTTGCTTTTTTAAAAACCTGTTGCTTTACGGATTTACAATGAATAAACAAGTTAAATTTGATGCATCGAGATCTCTATGAACTCTATAAGATTTCAAGGCAATCGAGATCTCTATGAACTTGATTTCAAGGCAAAAAAACCATCTTGACTCGGTGCCTTTCCCTTGTTAGTTGCTAGATCCTCTAGCAACTCCAAAAGTCCAACTATTACGGTGAAAAATACCAACAAAAGTCTATCGACCATATTTTGTCAAAACAAATAGTAATAACAACTTTTTTTTATTTAAAAACAATTGTAAAAAGATTAAAAAAACATTTAGAGATCAAAATGACCACCATTAGCATTAATAATTTTTCTTAAATGCTTTGGGAATGGCATCAATGGCATCAATGGCTTTTTCAAAGGTGCTGATAGAGATTTCGTTTCATTCCTTGATTAAATCTCGTTTCATGGAGTCAATTGGGCTTTAGCAAGTTGATTTGTGATCCTTAGCAAATGCCTTGCTTTCAAGAATCGATCATATTGAGTCGATCGATCGATCGATCAAGGGATGGAGATCGCGCGAGTTTCATGGCGATTCGCTTGGGCGTTGTTGACCGAGGGTTCACGGTGAAGGAATCTGGGAAGTTGTTGGAGATCCAATCTTGTGTACAAAAAGGCTTGTGAGATGGAGCATCGTCTTGTTGAAAAAAATCAAGTCCTCATTAATAAGAAAAGAAAGAAAAAGACAGAAAGCAGTTAAACGTAGTCAGACGCGCGTTCCCATAATTGTGAGACACCCTGTAAATACTATAGCTGTTTTCCAAATGTTTATTCATTAACTTCATAAATATTGCTGAATAAAGAATAAAGAAACGAGAAGCTCCATGAGAAAAGTGATACCGTAAATACTGTAATAGTACCCCACTCCCCTCGTACAGTCGCGTAGTCGCAAAAGTTTTTTAGTATTTCATTTTTTTCAAAGCGTCCGCACTTTCAAAAAATGCGTCTCTGGTATCAAAAAATAGCCCTGAATCTCAGCTATTTTTTGATACCTAAGCGCGCATTGTAGCATAAACCAGTGACGAGAAAAACCCGTTCAAAGCTAGACTACGCAAAACTCCGCTTTGAACGCGTTTTTCTCGACACTGGTTTATGCTACAATGATGGCTTAAGTATCAAAAAATAGCTGAAATTCAGGGCTATTTTTTGATAGCTAAGCGCGCATTGTAGCATAAACCAGTATCGAGAAACACTCGTTCAAAGCTAGACTACGCAAAACTCCGCACCGTCATTATGGGGATGGGGTACTATTACAGTATTTACGGTAAGTAAATGAAGGAAAAAAAAGGGAAACAGTTTGAGCTTTGTATTTTGAAAAGCACCTATAGATATAGAAAATGAAAGAGGATAAAATAGAAAAGACTAGGTGATAGAATACATTCAAACACTTGAGAAACGATGATGATCTTGTGCTGAATATTTCGATGGCAGTCAATGAGTACATTGAGATGTCTAGTATCTAGATACTTTTGAATCTAAAGTACCGTATTTCTTCGAATAGAAGACCGGGTAAAGAGTATCATCGTGTACTCCTGCGTAGCAGCCCTTTTTAAAATTTCTTTTCTGCATAAAAGCTTTCAATCAAGTGCTATAGAGCTGGAAAATGGCTCAAAAATCTGTTAGCTCATGTGGTATTTTTGAGCCATTTTCCAGCTCTATAGCACTTGATTGAAAGCTTTTATGCAGAAAAGGAATTTTAAAAAGGGCTGCTACGCAGGAGTACACGATGATACTCTTTACCCGGTCTTCTATTCGAAGAAATACGGTATCTAGATACTAGATACAAAATCTAGTATTTAGTACTAAAACAAAGCAACAAATCTTATTTAACACCTAGGAATGAGCTTTTTTTTGGTTTTTCTTTTTCAAAATTGGAATCTTTAGACCCGAGTTCAGTAGAATCACAGGGAAAAGGCAACAAATGAGAGAAAGGAGAAAGGAAATGCTTACAACCACAAAATTTACAAGCAGCAAATTTACAAACATGTTAGTAAGCTACAGTAAGCTACAGTAAGCTACAGTAAGCTACAGTAAGCTAGAGGAAGCTACTTACAAGTTACAAACAAGATAACGTCAAAGAATCTTTAGTCATTAATGAATCCTATGCATCCGGGAAACATAAAGTGAAAGCGATCACAATAACACAGCCAACGAAGATTGATGCTAATTTTTGCATTCGAAAACCTGGTTTATCAAGCTCGTGCGGGAGAATCTAAAAAAAATTTGTTTGAACTTTTTAAAGGGAACTCTAGCCCCGAAAGTGATTTTCTAGAGCACCATTCGGTCACTTGTTTCTCTCCCTTCCCTTCTCTTCTTAAAGGCGGTGTCTTATTTGTGCAAATACCATTTTTTGGCCAACTTTAAAACCATTTTTCCTGGCCTCAGAGGGCGTCCAGGGTAGATTTGAGTACAGATTTGGACTCAGCGCGAAAAACTGGTCTAGATATGCTAGGCCACGTCTTAAAAGCTGGTGGCAAGTTGACGAACCTCCCTTGTTAGTTTTCGTTAATGAAAGGGTAATAATTCTACATATTCTGAGGCTCTCAGCTGATCGCTTCTTGAAAAATCTAATGAAAAACGAAAAGCAAAAGCCAAATGAAAACGAGCGGGATTCGAACCCTGGTCTCTTTGGCAAGAACACTAACGACTCGGTCAAACCGGTAGCACACCGGTCGCTAAGAACGGGTTATAATGGTTCAAAGCAAAAAACGGATTTCGCTGGAGCCCGGAATACCCCTTTAACACATTCGCAACGATCCGGCCAACCGGTAGGCTGTATTTAGCCCTTTTTTGAGGCAAATTTGACTGAAAATTTGTACCAGGAGGTTTTCCGGGTCAAGGAATTCGAATCCGTTATTCGTTTTTAAAGAAAACTGCTCTACTTTTAGAAATTTTCGGTCATTTTTAGAAATTCAGTTTAATTACCCAAGTTTTTCGAGTTTTGTGATGACTCGAATTGAAAATACTCAAAAACTAATAACGGATTCAAATTCTCCATCCCAGAATGCCTCTGGTTACAAATTTTCAGATATACAGCTAACATAGATGCTCTAATAGAACGCCACTGCCTCGTACAGTCGCGTAGTCTAACTTCTTTTTCAATTTTTTCTCAGCCTCTAGACTTTTCCCCAACTATGATTTTGGTATCAAAAGATAGCTGAACCCAAGGGCTATCATTTGACACCCCAGTGCACACTGTAGCATCAAGCAGCGCGGAGAACGGGACGTTCAAAGTTAGACTACGCGACCGTACGCCCGTCATTATCGGGATGGCGGACTGTTAGAGTATTTACGGTAGTCCGAAACGGTCAAAAATGAATGTGAATTCGTTTCTCGCATTTCCTCACCTCAAAAGTGGTTATATAAAGAAAAGTGCCGCATGAGATCCCTTGGAGAATTGTTGTGACAAGAGATGCTGTACTTCTTGATCCACCCGATAGAAAATGCATAATACCGATCCCGCCAAGACCACCGACTATCACCTAAAAAAGGTGTGAACTCTGCAAACAGCTAACATTCGACTTTGCTTCAGTTTCTCGATTCTATTTTTCAAATTTTCACACCTGCATGGCCAAAATTGCCCCACAAAGGGTGATGATCAATGGCCGAAGTCCGCTTTGCCACAATCTGACGCCCAACGTGAAACCGATGATCGTTTTGTGAATGGCCAACGCGAGAAATATCTGAAAAAATCGATTTCCATTGACAAGACTTTGACGACCTCTAATAATTTTGGTGGATCAGATATGACTGCCAGAGAAATTCCCTCAAAAAGTGCATGCAGTGAGATGGCGACAACCATGATTATCGCTGAGATTGATGCGTTCTCGTCATGGCGATTCGATTCACTTCTAAAAGATTACGTTTTCTAAAACGTGCCCAAATCTACCAAAAATTGGACTTTACCATAAATTCTACCTATTTTACTTTTGAAATATCTCGAATAATCAACGCTTGCCTGTGCTCATTTTCCTCTTCTATTGTCTCTCCATCATGTTCATGTAATTGCACGTGTCCACTCCCGATCACACCGATTTCTTGCAAGTATATCGCCAACTGGAAACATTTCAAAGTATTTTTGCTTTAGAAGCTTGAAATAGGCTTAGAAACTTTTCGAAAAGCTAAGATTGGTGGCATTTGACCTGTTCACATTTGACCAAAAGCTAAGATTGATGGCGTTTTACCTGTTCTATCGAGAGAACGATCATGAATCCAAGCCCAACACACGCTTCAGCCAATGGAAATGAGAAGGAAACTTCAGCCTGTAATGCCACTTCAATCATTTCAAGAGATTTTACATCTAATTGCAGATTTGAGCAATTTGAATGAAAGTAACCTTTTCAAAAGATTCTAGCGCATCGGGTAATAAATCGAGTAGACAAGTTGCAAGAAATACTCCACCGCCAACCAAGGATAATAGGGGAAGTACTCGGCGTTGGGCCCATGCAGCCCGAAATAGTGAAGCAAGCTGAAAGAATGGGTAAATAGATCAATATCAGTAGCACTGTAGTACGGTAGATTACTCAATAGTACTAAAGATTTAATAAATTTGCATTAATTTTTTTAACAACTTACCATAAATGCTCCAAATGTCAGCGCAAATAGAGCAAATACAATAAGAGCTCGTAGCGAATCCCTCGCCGGATTTTCATCCTTTTCGCTCAACTGAATATTTTCATTAAAACCCTTATTTCTCATTTTCATTGTCCAAACAAACCTCTAATTTTTCTGCATATAACATACACGTTGTGGGAGCTGGCCGAGGAAAAATCACATCAATCCAGTTGACACCCATTTTGCGATAATCTGATTTGTTTGTGATTGTACAAATTGGTAATTCTCTTTAAAAAGTTTTTGAAAAAAATTAAATGAGAAGTAAGGGCTAGACAAAGGAAGTCTTCTTGTTCAAATTCTCTGACCGATAATAAAACAGCTGATGGACAAAAAGAGCGCGAAATAAAGCGCAATCTGTCCGAAGCACAAGAAAATGTCGCCCGCCTTTAGTGGGTTTTGCGCGAGTATCGTATTACGAAGAACAATATATTTATCAATAGCTTCCGAATCATAACAAGAAAAGACCAAAATGAAAGTAAAAAATTAATAAAATACGATAATGTGTCAATAGAAATACCAGTAAGTACACTCCGAAAACAATCAAATATTTACAAACGTGCGTTCTTCTCCACGAATCTGTAATTTTTCTCGATCCAATGCCGTTTTTCTCTCATCTTTCATAGCCACTGGCACCCATTCACTTGTACCGCAAGTCTAAATGGGGAAATTATTCGGCAATATATCCCTTTCATAACCTCCTGATTAGACAACTGATCTAGTTTTTCCTTAAAAATTAACAAAATTCTCTCCCTCACCTCGCATGGACGCGTTGGTAGTCGTCCAAACGCTATCACGCGTCGCTTACAGTTTTTGCATTTGAAAAAGCTAAATAGAAACAATAAACCGAGTTTAATTAAAACCAACCGTTTCTCGGCTTTGTGTTTTGTCACAACATGCTCGGCTTGTCGACAGAGATCACTTTGTGATTGAGCTGTGTAACCGCACTAAAAAATCAAAGACTACCAGGTTTTGACCAAACAACTGCCATTAGGACTCACCTTTTTTACAAGAGACTACTGCCACTTCTTTGATACTCATCGTCGTCGTTGCAAATGTTTCAATCTTCTCTTGAGCTTCCAATGTTGTTAGATAGCGTCCAACCGCCTCCGATTCGGCCTGGAATACTTTGAAATAGTATTATTTTCTAAAAAATACTTTATTTGCGGCACTAGTAAATTTGCTTTTTCGTTCGAGGAGACTCTTCGTCGAACATTCGGGGACTTCGTCTTTATCGAGAGGCACCCTTTTAGCACTTGAGCTGGGTGGCTCTAAAATTCGTTGGAAATAAAAAATAAAAATTTATCTAAATAGGTATTGCATTAAAAAACAACTTACCGGCCGCCCGTTTTATTCCTTTCTTTTGTCCTCCATCTCGTTGAATTTGTTCTCGCTCCAATCGAAGAATTTCCGCTGCTCGTTGCTAAATTCCAAGTTTTATCACAATGTATAGCAAAAAAACCTTAGCCATTTCGTTTTTATTTTTGCCTAAGTGCGGTCCAACGACATTTTCCTTCTCATCCGCGTTAAAAGACAATCGTGGACTTTCCTCACATCGTAGTGCGTACATTCGCCTAAAAGTTAGCGTCTATGTGTGAAGCAAAAACTGTTACGCTTTTCGCAGATCATCTCGACGTTTCTCTTCCAATGCGTCTTTATTTTCCTAAAGAGAACGTTGATCTTTTTCAAAAAGCGATTAGGTACTTTTAAAAATGCTGTAATGGAGCCGGGTACTGCCGAAAGTTGAGCTTTTTCTCCTGGGGTCTTTGCTTGCTGTAGTCGAACCAAGTTTTTTGCGCCAAACAAATGAGCCTAAATGTAATACATTAAAATAGAAAACAGAAGGACGAAACCTAGTTTGATTTAGTTAGGAAGACTCACTCTAGTGCTGACAATTGTTAGAAGATTTTTCTGCTCATCTTCCTTTGTAACTGGTGTTCCCGAAATTGCAGTAGTTGAATTTATTTTAGGAGTTGTAATAGCAATTCCTGCAGTGCTGCGCACAATTCCAGGTCCACTAAAAACTTAGATTGAATATTTAACAAGCTCCAACCTTGTTAGAAAAACGGGCGGCTTCTTCGGTATTGGTGGAGCGCTTGAAAGGGCATTGAAAGTACCTCTAAAAGAAAATGCATCTACAATAATTGAAATACAAAATTACCTTTTAGCTGAAAGCTTCTTCACTTGTGACATTACATGATAGACACAAAAATCCGACAGCGACACGTTCACAAAGTTCTGACATGGAACTTGATCGGCTTTGATTCCCTAAATAAGTTCAGATGATCAATATGCAACAAACGTTTTCAAAAATGCTCAAAGTGATATAAGTTTAAACAAACCCGGCATTTGCCAAAGTCAGCGCTCCAACCAACTTCTACAATTTGCGCTGGTCGAACAAACTTTAACACAACTGACTTATCTAAATCGTGTTTGATTTTCTAAATTACAAACTTTGCAAAATAACCAAAACTTACCTTTTCCATCATTGTTATCCCCAAGTTGTGGATTCACAATTGCTACGGAATTCCCAGGCAAAAGTTGCTGATGACTTTTAAAAGCTTCTCCAAAAAGCAGACACTTGACTGGCTGTTGCTGGCAATCCTAAAACAAAATACACAAACTTCATCTTATTTCAAATTACCCTCAGATCGTGAAGCTTCCAAATGATAAACTGATTCCCATTGGCGCTCTTTTTGATTTCGCTTTTGTCGACGAGAACACCCATTGATATAAAACCATCTAAAAGAACATAGATCTCAAAAAATAAAGAAAACTAACCAGATGGAGCATTTGATTGAGTAAGTGCACTAAGCCTTTGTTTCGTCATACCATCGCACAATGATTCAAACATTTCTGATGATACTTTTGGATTCCTAAAAACATCAATATGCAAATTAGAATAATGTATTATCAGCATTCATTTAACTTAAAAACTTTGGATATACAAACCTGATTTTGAATCTGAAGAAAGGATCAAAGTCGGTAGGCGTCGGCTTTTTCGGTTCTTCTGCTTGCGGAATTCCGAGTTTTGCTTCTCGCTTTACTGTCGGCGCCGCATATGTTGCCGCCAACTGATGAAGAGACTTTTGCAATTGTGTGTCTTTTTGCCGATCTTCTTGCTTTTTAAGCAGTTTCTTCACATTTCGCCCACTTTCCGAAAGCTCCCTAAAATTTAACGATGGAAAAATTTAGTTTAATGTTGAAAACTGCTTTATCAATATGACAAACTTTTTATTCTCTAACAGCTCGTTTTCTTCGTCTTCGGAGTCACTGACGAGACGTTTTCGTTGAATCAACGGCGATGTGCTTCCTGATTGAGCTGCTCCATCAAAATCTAGCGGCACAAGCGTTGGCGTGCCTAAAAAATAAAAACTTATTTACTTCTTTAGTATCGGGGGGGATAACGATTTTGTCAAAATTCAACCCACAATTTAAATATTTTTGTGGTAGACTTTGAAAAACTCAAAAACTATTAGAATCTACAAAGCCTAAGCTATCTGATAATGCTTTAAAGTCGAAATCAGACAAGTTTAAGAGAACTAAATCAGTGACACAAATTTGCCAAAATCGTTTCCCAAATACTAAAAAAGTAGCAAGATTTATTTATCTAATAAAAAGAAGCAAATTTTGTTGTATCCAAAATAAGTTTAAAATAAACTAACTCGTTTTCGTTGTTGTTGACGCTTGTGAGTGTTGAGTCTCGATTTCGCCTTGTTCCTCCTCATCCGATGAATCGAAAGCGGCCAATAACGAGTCGATATCACCCATTTTATCTAAATTTTGCAAAGTTAATTACACTTTTACCAAAAAGTAACAATGGTGTTTGATAAGAAACAAAGGAAATGACGTGAGGTAATAAAATTTAATAGCGTGTTTTCTGCTAAAACATCATAGATTATCATTAGCATAGAGTTTTCCAAGATTTCTTAGTAGTAAAACTGACTATTTCCCTCCAAATTTCACCCATATTTGAACCAAAACCAGTGCCTAACTGTGAAAAGCGCCCAAAATTGACGTAAAATAACGGGGAATTCCTCGCAACAATCGTCCAATGAGCACGATTTTCAAATGCTAAACGGTTAAATTTTTGAGACAAGGATGAGGTACTCGAACTACTTCTCTGATGTGACACTTTCTCTGACAAAAGCTACCTTTATACTTCTGATTTATATATTAAAATTCAAGATATGCAGCTAAAAAATTGAATATCTCAAATTTGGCTTAAGACTCTTAAAATTTTTTATTTAATTTCTGTCTAGACTTTGCTTTTCTTTACAATTCGTAAAACACTTTATTGTTCCTATATTTTTTTCACTTAGATGCTCTCCTTGGGACGAGTGGCGATAAATCGGACGTTGGCCTCGAGATTGGCGGTTGCGAGCACGAGTTCTCTTCCATCATGTTCAGCCACGACAATCCAGCGACGTCACATCTCATCTAAGGATATTTTCAATACTCAGGTTGGTTTTTAGCAACTGGACACATACTTTGTGCTATACGGGTCGGGAGTGAAACCCAAAAATTTCATATGCTAATTTCGCTTTTTGTATACTAGATTTTGCAATAGCTATGAAGGTTTATGAAGCCAGCTTAAGCCAGCCAGCCAGCTTAAGCGTCAAATGAAGTGGCGAAACGGATTAAAGGGTGAGCTTTCGGGCGACCACTACTATGAAGCCTTGTGGAAGTGGTGGCATAATACTCAAAGCCTTATGTGTGAGTCTGCGAACTTGTTGCTGATCGTCATCTTTGAACTTAAGTTGTTTTGTTGTTGATAATGTTAATTTTAATTCATAAATGTTGTTACCTAAGAGAAAACAAACAATTTTGTGATGTGGAACATAACGAGAAACAAAAATTAATACACAAAAAACGAAATTAGTATATGGAATTTTTGCCCCCCTCCCCCCGGTCCGTATAACACCCAGACTTTTTCTAGCAACAAAGTGTTTATTTTGTTTAGACACCAACCGGTTTTTCAATTCCCGATGTGCCCATACCACCACCACCAACAAAGACTATTGCAGAACTAGTTGAATCAGGTATTTTTAAAAATTAAATGTTTAGAATTACAAACGTTGAATGTTTAACCAAACATTTTATAAAATACGATAATTTTAGGTGAATCCGTGCTACAAGAATTAGGCTTGTGGTCGTGGTGGAAGCCGAGCTCGTATTTTCGATGGGCCCTTGAATCAATTCACGTTCATCTAGACGTTCCCTGGTGGTCTGCCATTGTTTGCAGTAAGTAGACTTTAGAATTTCAAAATTATTTGTTTTAGCAACCATTCTCTTGCGGTTAGCACTTATCGGGGTGCCGATTATGTCACAGAAACTCGTCGCCAAGCAATCCAAGTACAAGAAAGAACTTGACGCTTTTCGGTGAGTTTTTGATAATTTTGCCTCATATTGCTGTGTATACAGAAGTCGAATAGAAGATGCCAGGAGAGAAGGGGACAATCTAGCAAGTACGTGATGCAATTTTACAAATAAACTGTTAATTTTAGTTCAACAAATCTTACTAGAACAGAGGGATTTCTACAAAGCAAAGGTGGGAGGAAAGCTAAAAGCTTTATTTTATCTATTACTACCTATTCAGGATATCAAAATGGGACGCCAATTGGGGATCATGCTTGTGAATGGTGGTATTTTCATGACCCAATTTTTAGCAATCCGGAAAATGGCAGTGGTTTGTTTTAGTTGTCGGTTTATTTTATTATCTACATTTGTTTAGGTCAGTTATCCGGGATTTTCCACTGGTGGTGCTTTATGGTTCACCGATCTCACGTCTTGCGATCCGTATTGGGCTCTACCGGTGATTTCAGCTGCCACAATGGCTATGGTTATGCGAGTAAGTTTTGGTAATATGTTTTCTCATTGAATTGGATTAAACAAATTAAATCTATTTTTAGGTAGGAATTGAGAGCGGTGCATCGGCCGATCAGATGACCCCTTGGATGCGCCTTGGAATGCAATATGGGTTGCCGGTTATTATTCTCATCTCTTCAAGCCAATTTGCATCAGTAAGAATTTGCTTGTTTTACATATTACATACATACCTAACTGCCTAACTGAATAATTTCTTATTTTGTGAAAAACTGCGGTTAGAATTCTTTAAAATTACGAGTTTTTTAAACAACAATTTTCAGGGTCTTTGTGTATATTGGTGTGCTTCAAATATCGTCTCACTCTTCTACGCTGGGTTCTTCAAGGTTCCCGCAGTCAGAAAAATGCTCAATGTAAGATTCTTTGGGTTTGTTGCTACTCCTTTTTTTTTCTAGATCCCCGATGTGGTAAAAACTGATTCGACCAGAGCGTCGGCATTGAGCGAAGTGTGGAAGGGTTACAAAAGTAAGTTTTGGTACGTGCATTTTTAGATGACATCTTTTTTAGACAAGAAACAAGTCCAACCTTCACTAAGCGATCTGCGAATTGAGGACGCAAAACGTTTCAAAAAAGCTGGCCAAGGAAAGCCCCGAGTGTAATGATGGGCGCACGAATTTTAATGTTTGGTTTGTACAATTTTCACATTGTTAAGACCTCGATGAGGAATAGAAATATCTTTTTGTTGTATAACGTTTGCATTGTTGTTTTCGAATTGTTATTTATTAAACTTTATACATGAGAGGGGGTTATGTACAAAATGCTTTAAAGCTTTTAAAACCTGAACAATTGGGTGGGCATGAATGACTTTGGATCAAAGACGGTTTCTTGATCCTCAACGTTGGGCAAAATTTTCTCCGTGTGTCTTCCAAGGGCATCGATGTTTTTCGTCAACTTCAAGTGCTTTGTGAGCCACTCTAAAGAAGTGGGCGAGGCACGTCCGTGGAAAGCAAAAAATGGGCCTAAATTCATTTTAGTGTTATTTAACTTGTTATCATTTAGGCAGATATTTCAAATATTTCCCTGAGCTCACCTCTATTCAATGGGTTGAACGGGCTGAGATCATTGTATTGAGGCATATAGCTAGGAATGGGCTCATCGGGTGATTGGACGCTGGTTAATGGAGTCGATCGAATACCAAACGATGTCTCCATTGTAGCTGCCAAGGGTGAAGCGGGTAAACGATTTGGTGAGACCTAAAATTTTAATTTAGATAAGTAACAATGTAAAGCAGCTAGTTAAAGTTTTAAGACGCACAAATCCGAGGAAAGCACTCGGGTCGGGTGCATGAATGGTGAATGGGGTGCCTTGTCGATTCTGAAATTTCAATCAATGATTAGATATCCAGACTAATTGTAAGGTAGTTGATTAGGTATAACCGGACTCTTATTTCCCTTCATATACACTTACCATAGCAATCCCACTGACTCCATGCGTTTGCTCATTGTCGGTAGACGAGCTTCTCCCAAGGAACAGATCTCTCCTCCACAAATCTTCAGCACTAAAACAGGCATTAGTTTTTAAAGGACTAATTTTACAAAGTTGACTACTTACCTGATTTGCAAGACGACTAGCCAGAAACTCAAAAGAAATAACATGTTTACAGTAGTGTTGAAGGTAAAATTTGACTCTCTTCAGCCAAACGAATTCTCTTATAAAGGAATGATTTGGGGGAGGATGTCTCAAGTGAATCCAAATCGGCAGTAATTGGTGTTGACTTTCCTCGTGCACGTACATCACTTATCCTGTAGCGTTTTTATATAGGGATAGCCGAAAACGTCGAATGTCAGACCGGGAAGAGATCGCACTTTTTCCCAAAATCGGCGGCAAAAAGTTTTCCCGTACTTGAGGAAAACTCGTTTCCAAATCAATCAGTCTCCCCGCACAACTTTAAACAACCCCATAGTTAGAAAGCGGAAGTTTCAAGTCATTTAATGACTTCCTTGTTTGAATTTGTTCCTGGTTATGCAAAAGTTTCCTTTATTTACATAAAAATATTAAAAAATAAAATCATAATCTCGAAAATCATTTAGGATTTTCATTTTCCTCGGATTTCTTCTTTCGACCCCTCTCGTAACACATTTCCGTAATGCAACTCAGTAAGCAAAAAACGATGATGAGAAATAAATATCCTAAAATAAGAAGTACTATTTTATTCAAGCTGTACTAAGCTTTAAACCTACCGAGGATGATACCAACAATCAAAACGATCTTCAGCACTGGTGACTCTGGCTCTTTAGGGACTCTAAGCATCAGATAAATCAAGTATTTAAATAAAATTTACTTCTTCAACGTTATCAACACTTGAAGGTCATTTTTCACTCCCCATCGAGCATCCACAAAAATGCTTTCCTTTAGGTGAAGCATAGAAGGCACAAGCAAATCTCTAAGCAAACAGATATATATTTCGACTTGACTGGTTACCGCTTATTTGGATGTCGATAAAGTGTTTGTATTTCCTCACACGAATCATCAATTTCCATATCGTTCACTTTTTGAGCGGCTCTCGTCCAAGATACCTAAAGTAGAAAATAGAGAAGAAAAAGAAGCTATAAATATTGGTGTTAATCATTTATTATACTTTGGTACATCGATTGATTAATAAATTTCCATTTCATTTCTAAAATTTATATCCTCACTTCCATTGGTTCTTGCTCGTAGTGATCAAAATCAATAACAATTCTGTAGACGGCACCCTCTTCAACAATGAGCTCCCTTTTCTTCGCGTTCGCTTTAAACTCCTAAACGTGTTCAAATGTTCTCGGGCAAGCTTCCATCAAATACCTTAATCTCGAGTCCACTACATGGGTCGATTACATCGTTTTGCACCCTCTAAAAACCAGCATCTTAAAAATTTAATCCATGACTAAAAGCGTAAAGCAAAGTATAAAAAACTTACTGGAATATTTTTACGATCGATTCCATGGCAAATGTCCCACGCCGTACAATTTTTCTTTTGATTATCCTTTGCACAGTCGGCCATCTAAAAAAGTTTGCAATCAATAAATCCAAATGGTCAACAAAAACCTCAAAAACTTGTTTCCACACAAACGACATTTCTTCTGTCGATAACTTGAATAGCTAAAAACATAAAACATAAAAGATAAAAGGATTTTTCAGAATAAACCTTGTTCATTCGTTTCCACATTTTGGAAACACTTTCCAAATCGATGAAGCCACAGGAATTCCTGTTGTTCTAAAAAGTATGACGGTAGTCATAAAAATCGAATAAATACTTGTATGGTTTTACATCGAATAAATCGGCAACTCTTTCGGAGTCATTTTTCCTCAACTCTGCGTCATTTACCTGAATATTTTGAACATTTTTAAAACGCTCAAAAGTGCTTACTTTTGTAAAATGGTAAAGTCCCCGACGAGTTCGATAGCTCTCGACATCGTGACTAAACAAAAACAAAGATGAAAAAAGATAAATTAGCAAGACAAACCAATTTGTAGCATGCCAATTCCCACAATCCAGCTCGTCACAACAACAAGCACTACAACAAGACCACGAATCCCATTTTAACTCCAAACGAATACCGCCAAGAGACATCCTAAAAAAGCTTAAAATATCAAATAAACGGAAGCGCTTACTGTTTCGGTTTATGATTCATTATATCCAAAATCTCATCACTGGTTATCGGTTCCGAATTCATTTGATCCTTTTCGTGTAGTAAGAAGTCAACGTTGTAGATGAATGGAAGCGGAATCTAAATTAAAAACTTTACTACATATACTAGACGAGCTAATACTGAGCTAATACTAGTTTTTACACCTCTACCTGTTTTGTGACTTTCTTGTCTCCAACCAGTACCGTTTCTTCCTAAACAAGAAAAATAAAACTAAACGCCAGAAGTTTAAACTCTACCGCGGTCCATAAAAAAGTGGCATGTGAATAAGCAAAGCGATCATTTTCTTGAGAACCTAAAACTACTTTAACAGCAAAAGGTTTCTTTAATATTTTACCTCGAAAAGCAAAGAACATATTTCCATTTTGCATTCGAGCATAGTCAGAGACAGCATTTTCTAAAGCGAAGCAGTTATTGGGCTTACCCATTGCGCAAAACCAACCCTCTATATCGTATTTCTCATGTATCCCATAGGCCATAAACGCTCCAATCGGGTGAACAAATCCATCTCTTTTTGGTTTCGTGAAGGAAATCATCGGATTGCCTTTTATCGTCTCGTTTTTCGTAATGCCATCAGCTAAAATAAAAGTTTCCAGTTGCTAACTCTTTTAAAATAAACCAATGGCCTTTAACGTGTGAAGAAATGATTGCCCAGATGTGCTAAAAATGAAGTTTTATGTTGTAAAAGTATAAAAACTCACATTTGTGCATCAATTCTGAAAAGCTTCTTGGGTCGTTTGTCATTTCCGCAGAGCTCTGGTGGTGGTAACGCAAAACCAACGCCGCGATTTACATAGGCCTAGTATAAAAATATCAAATCCTACTTTATGAGAGAAAACTTACTTGCTTAATTCGAAATACCCCATAAAGAAGATCATTCTTCGGGTAATTTGCGCAACTAAAGTAATTTTAATTGAAACAAAGCAAAATTTACCTTATCACGTTTTCAGCAAAATGCTCATCACCGTTCTTGAGAAATGTGGAGAAGTGGTGAAGGTGGTAATCTTCAAAGAACTCTCGAAATGTTTCATCCTAAATATAATACATATAACAACGACCAGCAGCATAGCACTTTACTCAATGAAAATCATTTTATCTACCTCATCAGATTCAGTGTCCATCGTTGGCCCATAAGGTGAATGTGAATTCAATGCATCTGACGGATAACTAAACAAAGAACTAGCAATTATAATTTACTCAACTAATAAATTACCTGGATAAGTCTCCTCGATAAATCGAATCGGGCAAACCATCGTTATCGGGTGGAAAATCGTAGATTAGATGATTAGAGATCTAAAAAAATAGATGTAACTTTGATCAAAGCCACAAGAAAACAAGCTCAAGTGTGAAAATGTTTAAATTCAACGAACTCGTTTCCAAACTGGGACTCCAATTGGTCGATATGTGATACGCTCAGCCCCAAAAACTAAAACAAAGAAGGCGATGGAAAGGACGACTCTACGAAGACGCAACATCAAGAAATGAGAATTTTTTTATTCTGGCTACCCGAATGAAAGTCATCGTATGGTAATTAAAATTTATGCAGTTTTTTTCTTAAAAATCTTTTTTGAGATGCACTCAAAAGATGCTCGCGTTTCATAAATCTTTCATAAATTCATAAATTTCATAAGTTTGCACAGAAAAACTGGTATTTAGGGCCTAAACTTTGCTGGACTTAAGAATTTATTCGGCTCTACTAAATTTCGGGCATTTCGTTTCGGGAATTTTAACAATAATTTGTTTTGAATTTTAACAACAACAAACAACTAATGCCATCGTTAAATGCTTTTTCTAAAACTTGTGTTTTTCAGTGCTTAGTTGAGAAGAAATGAATCACAAAAATGAATAACTAATAATAAACAAAAAATGTAATCAAATAAAACCATCCAAACATTAATTTCTCCAAATAATTGAAAGACGACTTAACAAATCTAGAAAATCAGTTCTAGCATTGACAATAGCACTGACAATTTTAAGACAAGATTACCTCGCTTTGGAGTGGTCGGTTTGCGACTAGGAATTCGTGCACAATCTCATTGTCTCATTGTTTCTCATTCTCAACAGATCTCATTGTTTCGAGCCGAGTTAAGCATTTGAAAACATCGCTGAGTAGAATTTTTCGCGTTCCACCGGGTTCGTCCAAAAGGAACGACTAAACGATCTTAATGTTGTCCATTAACGCTAGACTTACATTACTTGTCCGATTTGTCGCTTCGTGTGAATTATTATAGCATGGTTTTTCTTTGTCGACGAGAGTGGCAATCTCTCATGTCCGGATCGGATATCGCGCATCCAGGCCATTGGGTCCCTCAATATAGTTTAAGCGAACGTACTTCATAAAAGCTAAAAACGAAGTTAAGTTTAAAAAAATCAAAAAACAAACCATCTAACGCTTGATCGTTGTTGTGTAAAGCTAATAAGTCGAAAGCCTTTGTAATGAATCTTCCGTCGATAAATTGCAGCATACATTTCGCCATCAAAATAACCCCTAAGCCAACGGCCTTCTTTAGGGCCACAAGCTGAGCCTGAGCTAACAATTAAACCGTTAAAAACCTTCATTTCAAAAATTCAAAAAGCCAATTTTTTAAATTGAAAGTCGAGCTTAAAAAGGTGATATTTGTGCTCGGCGTACTTGAAAATCTAAGAATAGCTGAAAACTTCGGAAAAAAGTGGGGTCCCCCAACTAATAGTACCCGTTTACGGGAATGGGAAAAATCCGACCTTTTTTGAGCACCCGGGACATTTACGGGGACCATCACGCTTGCGCCGTAAGCCAAAAACGAAACTTGAGCATACGAAATTTGCGCCGCCAGATCAGAGGCTTTTGCATTGGTCTTTCGGCGCAATTTTCGTTTGCGGTGCAATCGTCATCGTCCCCATTTGCGCACCTTTTTTCGCGTTTTTAAAAAAAGCTCTAAAAAGCTAATATTAATAAATTTCCATTCCAAAAGTTGTTTTTCTAGGTAGTTTTAGGGCGTAGAATCCAAAATTTGCCATATCAGAGCTTGTGAAACTAATTTGAAAGATAAAAAGGATAGAATTACAGAAAATTGTCGATTTTCCCCATGTATAACTCTATTCATTTGCTTCCACAAGCTCTGATATATCAAAATTTGGATTCTACGCCCTAAAATTACCCAGAAAAAACAAGTTTTGGAATGGAAATTGGTTAATATTAGCTTTTTAGAGCTTTTTTTAAAACGCGAATGTCTCGGGTGCGCAAAAAAAAGGTCGCATTCGTCCCACTTCCCCGGCCGCCGTCCATTTTGCGTCTCGAAGAGTAGAAATGAAGAAATGAATAAAAGTGAAAGCATCGGGTGTGGGACAAATTCGACCTTTTTTTGCGCACCTGGGCATTTGTGCACCTTTTTTTCGCTGGAAAAGGCCTTAGGAAAGGCCATAGAGGGAAAAAAAGGTGCGCAAATATCCAGGCGCGCAAAAAGGTCGAATTTGTCCCACCCCCAAAGCATCTGCAAACTTTTCTTTGCAAATTTTGCTTTATGTAAATTAACGCTAAGAAAAAACCCAACAAATACCGTAGCTGGGATCGTTTTATTACGCTTACGCCCATTTTATTACGCTCGCTATGGTATATTATATTTGGTCAAAACCTGTACTAAGTTTTTGATATTCTCCTTTAAAAGCTCAAATCTCAGGCTGAGGTTGATTCCAAGTACTCCTCCCACTCTTTCTTTCTTTCTTTCTTCTCCTTTCTCCATTTCTACCTTCTCATATGGCTCTCCTAATTATCCTCACCATACCCAATAGCAAAAAGATCAGAAAAAAAGGGGGTGTCCCTCTCCCTCCATCCCAACATCACCAATTTTCTCTCGTTGCCCTTCCCCCTTATTCGAGGGATATCGGAAAAAGGATACTCTCCTCTCCCAGTCCGATCTCCTATTTGGACTTCTCCATTCCAACTTTGGCAACTTTATTTTTATCCGCCCATTGCCTTTTTGGGGTTTCTAATTGCGAGACGAAACTTTTAATCTTGCGTTTCACTTCCTACCATTGTTGTCAGTAAAGTGACTAGTAAGTGTATGCGTTCAAAATATCAAAAAGGCCATATGGCTCTTATCTGAATACAAGGAACTTTGATGACTACTACACTTTGATTGACTTTTTAAGAATGTTATCGATCAATAGTTTACATTATGGATATATTCCTCGTGATTAAATTCTAATAAAGACCATATCTTCTTTTTCGATATGGTCTTTATTAGAAAAATCTCATCCAAGATCCGCATTCAAGAATAAATCTATCTACTTAATAGTAGATAGACTCTATCTACTATTAAGTAGATAGTAAATAAGTCTTTTTTTAACAGCCTCTTCTAATTTGAGTTTTGATTGAACTCTCACTCTTTATTCCACTGTACAACCTATTCAGCCTTTTCTTTGTTTTGATTCAAAGTTACTTCAAAGTTACAAAGTTACTATCGTGTCTCAAAATTCCCACACAAAATCAGTTATTTCTCGTAAATTTCATTTCAGTTTTTCCTTGTGATGAGAAGAGAATTTTTCCCTTCGACACGCCACTTGGGAATTCGAGAATTTCATTTTTTGACGCATTTTCTATATCATTGAACAGCCAACTTTGATTCGCAATTCATTCGTTTCGATTCGAAAAAAATTAGAGCGAAAAAGCTATTTGTTTGAGAGAAAACTTTGAAGCGCCGTAAATTTTTTTCTTTTTATCCAATCTTTCTAATTAAAAAGATTTAACATAATTATTAATGATTCTGCGTTGAATGACACCAAACACTTGATGATTGGACGCGCGACTCATTCATAATCGGCTGAAATTCATCATCAGCTACGACATAGACAGCTACGACAGCTACGACATCAGTATCAATCTTGTGCTACATTGTAAGATTTTTATACGTCCCCCAAAACTTTTAGAATCTCTTTTCCTTTATTGTAAATGAGATCACGCGGATTTTTGGATGGTTTCCCATTTCTCGGCAGAAGTTTTTGTGAAGTAGGCGAGTGATGGTGGAAGGGGGAAGGTGAAGGAGTGAGGCATCACCCTTGAGCACTTCTCAAGATCTTCCCCCACAGATATCTCTAATTGGATACACAAATCAACACTTCTAACATCTCAACATTCCTTTTTCAAGGCCTACACAAGAGTCTACACAAGAAGTTATTCGAATGTAAGTATAAATGGAACAAAATGAGGTCTTGAAGGTGCAAAGATCATCTTGTGATCTCTCTCTTGAGCTCTCTTGTGCTAAAGAATGGAAACACACACTTTCTGGCACACTCAATCCTCAATTCTCAATTCTCCATCTTCCACAGTAATTCCTGTAAATTTTCAAAAAACTAGAGACCAACTAGAGACCAACTTGGTCTTTTCGAAGAATAATTGCGGCTTTTAGCTATCCAAAAGTGTTCAAAAGCTATTGTTTTTTCGATTTCTCAAGTAGAAAAAAGAGCTGAAAGATTGAAAACTCGAAATATATATTTCTACTACTATTCTTTTCTTTCAAAATCTTGTGGATAACACTAATTACGGGTGAAAAGGCTCTCTGAAATGCGTGAGCCTTTTGTTGATTCAGAGATTCCTAGAATTGAATCTGTTTCAATTCTCATTTAACTATTTATTTCAGAATTATAGAGATCCAATTATTATTATATTATAAAGAACCAATTTTAAGAATTTTTAAGAACAAAAATTGAATGAATCCTTCAAGAAATTCCACCCACACAAAACTGAAATGGTTTTTAGTCGAATATTTTGAGAATACGATTGAAATACAAAACAATACAATTGAAAGCGTTAGTTGAAGATGTTAGTTGACTCTTAAAGATGAATATCTTCAATGTCTTCAAGAGATGAATATCTTCAATATCTTCAAGAGTGTCAGTGTAAGCTAATAATAGTTCTCACGTCTGTTGTCTGATCTCAATCACTCATTTTTCTGTTTTCTTATAACTATTCCATTTTCCCTTCTTCCTATAGCTCTTTCTTTCCCTCTTTTTCCTTCTCAACTCATTCATGCATTTTTGACTGTCTCGTGCTCGTCACTCATTTAGAAGATGAAATAGAGAATTCCTGGAACCAAAAAATAGTACATACTTTTAAAATCTATCCAAAATTAGCTCAGAACTTATTGAACCAATTGAATCAACAAGACAGCAAATTGATGTGTCAGAAGGCGCGCGTTTGTTGGGCTGTTCATGTTATTTAGCCAGTATATCCAGTTGACGTTCCCTTGTGAGCATAGATTTTCGCACGACATGAAGGCATGAATTTTACTAGTTGCCAGGGCAGAGATTGATGATTGAGAGATGAACAATGCTTCTTTCATTCACTGAATCTCAATTTCTCGTTTCTTTTCACACAAAAAATGCGGAAGACAAAGGATGAGAAGAAAATGGGAAAATTCTCAAAGAATGGCTGAATCGGGGGAAATCTCGAGGTAATTCGGTGAGGAGAGTTCAGCTGAAAGATCAATTTTTCCTGAGATTTGGGAACTTTAACTTTAAAAGCTTCAATCTCTTGTCTTGTCTTCAATCTCTTGTTCAGTTCAGCTCCCATATTGAAAAGATATTATGCTCAAGGAATCGATTGGTATAGAATTGGTATAGAATCTTTTGGTTTTAATTTTAGAATCTACTAGTCTTATTAGATCTGAGAGTTTTATTATCTAAAAAGATCTGTTTATCTAAAGAGATCTATTTTCTAGTTCTTTGGGATTTACTTTGTGCTCGAATCTTGCTCAAATCTCGAAACACACATTTGCTCGAAGAATCGAGTGTGCAAGAAGGGTGCGTTTACAAGATTTAAGCACAAAGTACACCCAAAGTAATCTCTAGTCTAGGTCTGTTAAACCTATAATATTGTTTTATCCACTTTATGTGTATGTACCTTTGCTCTGATTTATCGGATCTGATTTATCAGATCAGATTTACCAGATCAGATCTACCTAAACAAATCTGTCCCTTAAACTATCCACACTTTTCCCCAAAAGATCTCGATACCAATACACAAAAAGGTATAATTGGTTAACAAAAATTGTTGATTGCCAATCTTTTTCCAAAGATTTTCCGCTCCTTTCCTGGCCAAAGTGCCGGGAAACTGGGAAATCGAGAAATTTATGTATCTCACTTTGGGCCCGTTGTCCCCGTCGATTTCCCATCCGATCCCAGGCCAGCTCCTCCCTTTCCCCTTCTCTCATACCCCAATTCCATCCACTTCATTCCCACAGACCTCTCACTAATTGAGATTTTCACAAACGAAAACTTTTCTCCTGTTCTTTGCCAGCTGAAAAACCCGCCTAACGACGGATTTT